CACGAGAGTCCTGGAAGTCTGGTTTTTTCTTTCATTCCAGTAGCACAATTTTTAAAGTTATCAAGAGACCTTTATTCAAGAATACCAAGCAGAGTCCCTTATCTAATTATAAACTGCCTTTTGAATAGGATCAAAACAAGACAACAATTGTCTGAGTATGACAAAAGTCAGAAGAGTCACTTTTTTTTTGAGACAGAATCTTACTCTGTTGTCCAGGCTGGAGTGCAGTGGCATGATCTTAGCTCACTGCCACCTCTGCCTCCTGGGCTCAAGCAATCTTCCCAACTCAGCCTCTCAAGTAGCTGTTACCACAGGCACATACCACCACATCCAGCTAATTTTTGTATTTTTTGTAGAGCTGGATTTTTGTCATGTTGCCCAGGCTGACCTTAAACTCCCAGGCTCATGCGATCTTTCTGCCTCAGCCTCCCAAAGTCCTGGGATTACAGGTGTGAGCCATCATGCTTGGCCATATTATCTTTTTGTTCGGTAGAAAGTCCCGCCATCTTTCCCCCAGGTTTCTTGCCCCCACCCTCCCCCCAGGCTTCCTGCTGCCCTGAGAAAAGCCCGCCAAGCCTCGGCCTATCCTGAACCGACACGTAACCCTCTGAGCCACCTCAGCAGTCTGCCCAGAGACGGACAGCCTATCCTAAGCTCCTACGACACTCCGCCAGCCCTGTGTCCACGCCCCGTCCACCCCCCCTATAAAACCCTCCTACCCCAGCTGCGCAGTCGCAGCCAGCCCCGATCTCCTTCCTTCCCTGGCCTGCCCGCTGGTCCCAATAAACCTGAACTCGGCTTCCAACTCTCGAGCTGTTATTTGGGGTCGGGTACCGGGCAGGGGTCTACAAGGGGGTCGCACACTTTTAATATTATGTAAACTTATTTTTCAAAAGAGAAAACCAAATTTTATGTTTGCATTAGTGCATCTTTAGTGCTAAAGCTAGTTTTTAATATAATTCTATGTATCTATCCAGTTTTAACTAAATCTGACCATAAGGTAAGATTATTATAAACTTTTCAGAATCCTTTACAATTTTTCATGTTCCAGATTAATTTTTTTTTTCACCTGCGTGCAGGTGGGCTAAGGCCAAAAAGGGTGTTAGCCTCCAGATTAATTGTCTAAGAAAACCCTGTTATTCATACACATGGGCCCAGATTCTGGCCCCACATCAGTATTCTTCTGTCTTAATGTTCAACTTACAGAAAAAACTAAATAATCCCCTTCAAATCTTAGCCAACATACTCATACCCACAGAATTTTCTTTACAAAATTAACACTTAACAATCCCCCCATCTTTTTTTTTTTTTTTTTTTTTTTTGAGAGGGACTCTTGCTCTGTTGCCCAGGCTGGAGTGCAGTGGCATGATCACTGCAACCTCTCCCTCTCACATTCAAGTGATTCTCCTACCTCAGCCTCATAAGTAGCTGCAATTACAGGCATGTACCACAATGCCCAGCTAATTTTTATATTTTTAATAGAGACAGGGTTTCACCATATTGGCCAGGCTGGTCTCAAATTTTTCACCTCATGTGATCTGCCCACCTTGGCCTCCGGAAGTGCTGGGATTACAAGTGTGAGCCACTATGGCTGGCCAACCCTTTTTAATTTGCTTAAAACTTCAGCTTTTTTTTTTTTTTTAACTTAAAATAATTCTTTCACTCTCTAGGCAAACATTGTATTCCCATGTCTTCTTATAATGTATTGGCAAAAATATATTCTACTTTCTTTACACACCTTATATGTAAAACTGTTTCTCTGGTGTCTCAATTATGTGAACTTTTGGCAACTTTTATTTTTGGTGAAAAACCTAATAAGTCAGTGATTTTAATTATGTACTAGGTGTGGAGCCTAGGACATCAGACAGAAGTACAGATAAGATCAAACTTTTTCCAGCAGAGCTGGGGGTATGTCTAACCCCACACATCCTCAGGCTGTATCTAGAATCTAATGGCTCCAAAGCAGGTAAGTTAGACAATTTTCAAAAGTCAAAGAAACAGTTGATAACCTTAAAGCATTTAGCAAATGTAACATTTGACCTTAATCCAGACCAAATGTCTAAATTTTGCAGAGATTTTAAATTTTACAATAATCTTTAAAACTGTTTTTATTTTCCAAAGATTACTAAATTCATGTGAACAAAAAGGCACTAAAGTTTCTATTTTACTGACAAAATATTTAAGTGCTTATTTATTTATTTTTTTTTTTGAGACAGAGTCTCGCTCTGCTGCCAGGCACCAGACTATAGTGCAATGGCACAATCTCAGCTCACTGTAACCTCCACCTCCTGCCTTCAAGCCATTCTCCTGCCTCAGCATCCTGAGTAGATGGGACTACAGTCTTGCGCCACCATGACCGGCTAATTTTTGTATTTTTTTAGTAGAGATGGAGTTTCACCATGTGGCCAGTATGGTCTCCATCTCTTGACCTTGTGATCTGCCTTCCTCAACCTCCCAAAGTGCTGGGATTACAGGTGTGAGCCACAGTGCCCAGTCTAAGTGCTTATTTTTAACCCAATTAATCGGAGTTCTTCGATATGTAAACACCACACAAACACATATAAATACACAGACAGAAGAAGATCCAGTAGTTGTAAGATTTTTCATTTGCCAGTCTCTTAACTGGATTACTGGGTTCAGGGTGGAGCCCTTGGAGAAACAGGGCCAGGAAAGCATGAAGTTTCTATGGCCTAATAAGCAGCCACAGCTGGAAGGCAAAAAAAAACAACTCTAAAATTAAGTCTCATTTTTTTTTTTTAAGATGGGGTTTCACCTTGTTGGTCAGGCTGGTCTTGAACTCCTGACCTCAGGTGATCCACCTGCCTTGGCCTCCAAAGTGCTTGGATTACAGGTGTGAGCTATCATGCCTGGCAAGAGTCTCATTTTTATACTAAATCTTGGATCCCCCAAAAGGAGGAAAATGCTACCAGAGAAGATAGTGCAAGGCTCCTACTATGCATTTCATTGCAAGACAACCCAAAGCCAAACAGCTCATTTTGTAATCAGCCCATTCCCTTTGGGAGTCCCATATCTCAGCAGGAGTGGGGGGTGGGGTGGAGATGGACCCATGCCTCTAAGTGATCAAGATCGTGTTTCTTTGATCTAAGCATGCAAAGAGCCAAGTAACCCTCCTAAATGCCATTAGTTATCCCTTAAAATATATTTCCTACCTGGTTATTACATATCAAGGCTAAAAACTCTCTCACAATGCAGAGTAATTTTGGATACCCCCCCAAAGTCAAAAGTCTCAGGTTATATAATGTAAAACAGAACAGAGCCTTAGATTTTGAAAGGACTCTATTCTCCTTCAATTCCTGGGGTTCCATGAGGAAAACAGAGGTTTTCCCCAGAATAGGTTTACATTCTGTGACACTGCCTTTGTTTTTCCCCAGGAGCTCCAGGCTGCTAGTAATTATCTTAGGTTCTTTCATGTGGGCATCAAGAATGGCAAGGAGACAAAATGGAGAAAAACAATTCAATTGACTGAGAAGAAAAAAAAAATTTTCTTTTCCTTCAGAAAATTAAGATCCAAGAAGAGAAAGGAAAACAAACATAAAGGCTTTTAAAATATATGTATAGTTTGATATCCATGTTTTATTAAGCTAATTGTAACCATTGATCTCTTTTTTCTAAAAAAAAAATCTTTTTAAATCTTTTAATACCAGACTCTAGCTAGGACAGCCAAAATGTCTGCCTTTGTATCCTAACATAGGTAACCTCCCATGTGAAATTAATACATATTAATTAAAGTCATAACTTAAACATGGATGCATAAACGGTCTTAAAGAGATGGTAAGCAGTTGTTTTTTTTTTTTTAACAATAATTAGTCTCCCCAAAGGTAGTTCAGCAAAAGTAAAAATAAAGACAGGAAATCAGAATCAGCCCATGGAAAAGAATCAATAAATGGCAAAAAGTTACACGGATAACAAACCAGAAAGGACTCACTCCCTAAGCCCCTAAGCCAAGAATTTAATCTGGGCCACCATTATCAAATGCCAAAGCCTTAGTACTGAGCCCCCACATTAGGTGTTTTCTATTGCTTTTCCCAGAAGGAAGATTTTGAGCTTGCAAAGACTTTTAACTACTCAAGATAATTTTCAGGGCTATGTCACAAACCCCAAAATCCCTGTCCTCTGGATGGCAGAATCCAAGATAAAGTATCCTCACATGATCACAAGGTTAAGTTCAAGGACATAAGACAATATAAGAGAGAAACTTTATCTAGTGTTGGTTTCAGAGACCGACAGCAAAGTTTGTAAATGACCAGCCTGCTGAACTGGCTTGGACAGTTGGCTTATACAGCTCCTAAGTCCACATTCTATCCTGTGATACCCCCTCCACTATAGAATGACACAGAAAAACAAATGTATAGCACTAAGTACACCAGATTTTCTACAGCCTAAGACTAGTCTCATAAGTTTTTTTTTTTTTTTTTTAATAAAGACAGGGTTTCACCACGTTGGTCAGGCTGGTCTTGAACTCTGGACCTCAGGTGATCCGACCGCCTTGGCCTTCAAAGTGCTTGGATTACAGGCATGAGCCACCGCGCCCAGCCCATAAATCTTTTTTTCTATTGGCTGGTAAGAAGTTCTTACCCTTTTTGCCGGCATACCAGGTTTCTGGGTTCCCTTTCTCTGCAGCTTCCAGAAGAACGGAGCTGCCTTCCCCCCACCCCCCAAATGGTTACAAGTTCTGAGGATTTTAAACATTTTTTTTTTTTTTTTTTTGAGACAGAGTCTTGCTCCAGCATCCAGGCTAGAGAGCAGTGGCACGATCTTGGCTCATCAAGCAACCTTTGATGACCCTGCTCACTATGCTATAGCTGTGGGGGCCAAGCCCCACTACCAAAAAGAAAAAAAATCCTTTCCTGTTGTACGGAACCGGAGGCAAAGCTTCTCAACTTCGCAAGATGCTGCCCGATAGGCTGCATGGAAAACCGAATTAACATTTTCCATCCCGGCCAAAACAAAATAAACACAACCAAACAGACAGTAATCACCTCATTTGGCTTCCAATATCAACCTGGCAAGGCTCAAACTTTCTTCTTTTGCTCCCTATCATCTTTGGTCCACTCAAGGTGGGGAGGGACGGCCTCAACGAGTAGTCTCTGGGCAAGACAAAGAACAGACAGTTACCCCTTAACACTCAGGCCTGTTAAGCCTTTTTTCAGGGCTCACCGAATGTGAGCAGACTTACAGAGGGTTCTCTGAGTTAAGCCTGCTGGACTTGCATCAGCAATTCCTTCAGGGATCCCTCCACATATACAAATACACACACAAAGACAAGACGGACAGACAGCCTTCCAAACCAAGATCCCTAACCAAGAATTCCAAGAGTGTTTGTTCCAAACTATCCTCCCATCCTCCATCTGAGAAACCTCCCCGAAATCTTACTGACTGAGGAGAAGTTTCCAGAACCAAGACTCTTCCTACTAATTAGGGAGAGCCAACCAAGACCCCTGAAGGAGCTGAACCAACTGGGAGAAGGAACGGGGCGTTGGCAGCGCCTAGAATACTCACCAAATCAGACACCCCATAATGGGGCTACAGCTGCAGACATGCCATGACAGTGGTACAAACAGACACTGTGATGGGGTTACAGTTACAAGCACCCTATGGTGGAACTACAGATAGACACCTCGGTATGGAGCTATAGTTATGGGACATCTCCCCAGGACAATTTATTGCAAAATGTACTCCATACACACTGGGCTAGCAGTGCCCTGCCGACAGAGATGAAGCCAAAGTTAGCCCCCAGTCTAAAACTAGGTGGCCACTTGGGCTGGCCTCTGGATCCATTGCCAGAGGGAGTCTACAGAACCAGGGGCAGGTGGCACGAGGGTAATCCCAAATGAGCCCCCAGATATGTAACTGCTCAACGGGTTCACCGTACCCACTGCCTACACAGAGCTATTTATCAAGATAGGGGAATTGTAATAGAGTAATTCATGCAGAGCCGCTGTGCAGGAGACTGGAGTTTTATTATTGCTCAAATCAGCTCCCCCTAGCATTCGGATCAGAGGTTTTTTTCTGTTTTTTTGAGATGGAGTTTTACTCTTGTTGCCCAGGTTGGAGTGCAATGTCGCGATCTCGGCTCACTGCAACCTCGACCTCCCAGGTTCAGGTGATACTCCTGCCTCAGCCTCCCAAGTAGCTGAGATTACAGGCACCTGCCAACATACCTGGCTAATTTTGTAGTTTTAGTACAGATGGGGTTTCACCATGTTGGCCAGGCTGGTCTTGAACTCCTGACCTCAGGTTATCCACCTGCCTCAGCCTCCCAAAGTGCTAGGATTACAGGTGTAAGCCACTGCACCCCGCCTCAAGGATCAGAGTTTTTAAGCATAATTTGGTGGGTCAAGAGAGGCCAGTGTCGGGAGTGTTGATTGGTTGTGCTAGAGATAACATCATAGAAAGTTAACGCAAATCAGTTCCTCAGTTGGGGTCACAAGATTAGATAAGCCAGTTTATCAATCTGGTGGTGCCAGCTGATCCATCAAGTGCAGGGTCTGCAAAATATCTCAAGCTTAGGTTTTACAACAGTGATGTTATCCCCAAGAGCAATCTGGGGAGGGTCAGTATCTTGTAGCCTCCAGCTGCATGAATCCTAAATTTCCAATCTTGTGGCCAATTTGTTAGTCCTACAAAGGCAGTCTAGTCCCCAGGCAAGAAGGAGGTGAAAGGACTGTTTTGGGAAAGGACAGTTACCTTGTTTTACTTTTTATTTTATTTTATTTATTTTTGAGACACCCAGGCTGTGTCACCCAGGCTGGAGTGCAGTGGTGTGATCTGGGCTCACTGCAACCACCGCCTCCTAGGCTTGAGTGATTCTCTTGCCTCAGCCTCCTGAGTGGCTGGATTACAGGTACCTGCCACCATGCTTGGCCTAATTTTTTTTTATTTTAGAGTTAGGGTTTTGCCATGTTGGCCAGGCTGGTCTCAAACTCTTGGCCCTAAGTGATCTGCCCACCTTGGCCTCCCAAAGTGCTGGGATTACAGGCGTGAGGCACCATTCCTGGCCCTTTGTTTTAACTATAAACTAAGTTTCTCCCAAAGTTAGTTTGGCCTGCTCCCAGGAATGAACAAGGACAGCTTGGAGGTTAGAAGATGAAGTTGATTAGGTCAGATCCCTTTCACTGTCTCTGTCATCATTTTGTAGTGGTGGTTTCATTTACACCAACATGTCCAAAACCTGCCCTTGTCACATTCCACCCCAGTGCTCTCTCGTGGAAATCAGTCTTTCTCTTTATTGAATTTGCCTCAAATTTGCAGAGTTTCAGGTGAGTGTATTTTAAGAGCCCGGGGCTGGGAGGCCAGGGTCCTAGTATCAGAGCTCTGCTCTGGCTTTCGGGATGCCTTTGGACAAGACATTGCAACTTCTCGCACCTGTCGCCTCTCATATAATAGGAACCTCCTCAACTTCTTCAAAACTTACTGCAAGACAAGCAATGTGATCAAGGGTTTCTATACATCATCTCACAGTTCTAGTTTATTATTTTGCTTCAGAGAGAAAGAAAAATAACGTCCAGAAAGACTGAGTAACGTATATATGAGCAGGAGCTGGTGAGTGGCATAGACTGGACTCGACCCAGTTCTGTAATTCTAATTCCAGCAACCCTGCTTTTTTCCATTACACCGTAGGACGCGCTCTCCCTCCTTCTCCTGGGAGCGGGACATAAACTAAGCCCTGCGCAGGCAGCCGGTCGCCTACCTTCAGGGAATGCTTGCTCCCGGATGCACGCACCGAGCCCACAGTCTGGGGCAGTGAGCCTCAAACCTAGCGCCGGAGAGGGGCGTACAGCTTCCTTGTTCCTCCCTGCCCTGCCTCGCGGGAGGCTCCGCTCCGTCCCCCGCCCCGATTGGCTGTCGGAAGCGAGGCGGGATGCGGGGGATTGGCTGCTCGGCGGCCGCGGGCTGACGTGACGGGGCAGGCGTGTGCGTCTCGCCGGGCTGCTCACCAAACCCACCGAGGCGGCGGCGGCGGCGGCCGGACCCAGACTGGTAGTAAGGTGCCGGAGCGCAAGCCGCCGCGATGCCGCTGGAACTGGAGCTGTGTCCCGGGCGCTGGGTGGGCGGGCAACACCCGTGCTTCATCATTGCCGAGATAGGCCAGAACCACCAGGGCGACCTGGACGTGGCCAAACGCATGATCCGCGTGGCCAAGGTGAGGCTCGAGTTCCCGGACCCGAGCGGGGCGGGGTGGGGCCACGGAGAGCCAGGGCCCACGTCCTCGGCGGCTCGGTTCTCTGGTCAGGCCTCCTCCCGCCCGCCAGTTTCGTTTTCGGATATCTCTTCTTCACCCGGTCAGCCTTCCTTCTGATCTTTCTGCATTACAGCTGCTGCCTCCTAACCCGCCCTCTTTCCTCCCCGTTCTGCCAGAATACTCTTTCTAAAACCCAGACTTGATCAGACCATACCCTCTGTCTGTTACCTTCTGTGGTTCCCTCCTGCCCACGGTAGAGTCGAAATCCTTTTTTTTTTTTTTGAGACGGAGTTTTGCTCTTGTTACCCAGGCTGGAGTGCAATGGCGCGATCTCCGCTCACTGCAACCTCTGCCTCCTGGATTCAAGCAATTCTCCTGCCTCAGCCTTCCGAGTAGCTGGGACTTACAGGCGTGCGCCACCATGCCCAGCTAATTTTTGTATTTTTAGGTAGAGACGGGGTTTCACCATGTTGACCAGGATGGTCTCGATCTCTTGACCTCGTGATCCACCCGCCTCGGCCTCCCAAAGTTCTGGGATTATAGGTGTGAGCCACAGCACCCGGCCGAGTCGAAATCCTTTAACACAGCCTTCAAGATCTTAATGACTGGGCCCCTAAAAGCCCATTATAATTAATCTCTGACATTCTTCAGCGGCACAGAGTTACTTTCAGGAATAACAGTTACTGGATGTTGTTGTGGTCTCTCCCCCGCCATTCCCTGTATGTGGAATATGAAGTGGTTAAAAGCCGGGGCTATGAGATCGAATCTTGACTCCACCACTACTAGCTGTGTGTATGTGGGCTGGTTACTTAGCCTCTGTGAACCTGTTTCCTCATGGAATTGTTATGGGGATCAAATGAGATTCTCAGATAGAGCTCTGAGCCCAGCACTTGGCACATAGGAGTCCATAATTGTACGATCTTGGCTCACTGCAACCTCTGCCTCCCCGGTTCAAGCGATTCCCCTGCCTCAGCCTCCCAAGTAGTTGGAATTACAGGCATGCGCCACCACGCCTAGCTAATTTTGTATTTTTAGTAGAGTTGGGGTTTCGCCATGTTGGTCGGGCTGGTCTCAAACTCACGACCTCAGGTGATCCCCCCGCCTTGGCCTCCCAAAGTGCTGGGATTACAGGCGTGAGCCACTGCGCCCGGCCTAATGTAAGCTGTTAGTGATAGGATATTTATAGCTCTCCGTGCTCCCTCTTCTCTTGGGCCTACCATATTCTTCATTACAACCCCAGCCCCCACCTTAAGGCCTGGCCTACATTATGATTCTTTGGTTTAGAGATAGCTAACCCCATCTTTCCTTTCCCTTCATCCGTGTTGCTCAACTGATTTTGTGTCATTTGTGATTAGGTTTTTAAAATGTTTGTTTATTTATGTGTCTATCTTAGAGACAGGGTCTTGCCCTATCACCCAGGTTGGAGATTTTATCATACTGTTCTTTTGTTCTGTTCTTTTTTGAGACAAGGTCTCTCTGTATTGCCCAGACTGGAGTGCAGTGTCGTGATCTCACCTCACTGCAACCTCTGCCTTCCAGGCTTAAGTGATTCTCCTACCTCACCCTCCAAGTAGCTGGGACCCACAGGTGTGCACCACCATATTGGGCTAATTTTTTGTAGAGATGGGGTTTGGCCATGTTGCCCAGGCTGGTCTCAAACTCCTGAACTCAAACAATCTGCCTGCTTAGGCCTCCCAAAGTGCTGGGATTACAGGCGTGAGCCACCGCATTCAGCCCTTACTGTTTCAGGACTGATTTTATGGAAAGCTAACCACTGAGTCATAAAAATACTTTACGAAAGTAACATTGCTAACATCTTTTGAGTGCTTACTCTACCAGATACTAAGCTAAATGCTGTACATGCACCATCTCGTTTAATTTTTACAACAACCCAGTGCCTTGATACTGCCAATTTTATTTTAAAGGCTAAGAGAAAATAAGTGACTTAGCCAACAGCACACAGCTAGTATAATAAATACAGTAAGGGATTTTTCAGTTTTTGCTCCTAAGCCACGGGGCTCCAGCCTTTCTTCTGCAACATTCATTGTTTTCTAGGGGGAAATTCCTGCTCTTAATTTGAAGGAGCAGCCTATTTTTCCTCTTACAATGCTGAAGTTGTGAAAATATCTAGAGATATTGAAGCCATAGAAACAAAGCTATACTGGCCAGGTGCAGTGGCTGATTCTTATAATCCTAGCACTTTGAGAGGCTGAAGAAGGCAGATTGCTTGAGCTCAGGAGTTCCAGACCAGCCTGAGCAACATAGTGAGACCCTGTTTCTAATTCCATTGAGCTGGGATCCAGGTGGCTGCAACCTTTGGGAAAGGGATCTGGCCACCTCTGCTACAGACACTGTGCAATGTTAAGTGAGTCTGGGCCTTGGGATCTTTATCTAGACATGAGATCTTAATCTAGACTTGGGAATCTTCATTTACACATGAGACAATGAGAACTCTGTTGCCTGAGGTCACTTTCGGTTCTAATGTTCTTTGAACTTTCCAGCATCAAGTCCTGACCCTACCATCTTATGACTTGTCCAAGAGCGGAGTAGTGATCTCAACACTGACATTTCTAGACCCAAGAAGTTTTTAATAGCATGAATACCTCTGTGTCTACAGAAATGGCAGTGAGATGAGACTTTAGTGGGCTTTAATTACTCTTTTTCTTGAGTAGGTTTCTTTTTTTTTTTTTTTTTGAGACAGTCTCACCACTCTGCATTCAGGCTGGAGTGCAGTGGCACCGTCATAGCTCACTACAGCCTTGATCTCTGAGGATCAAACAGTCCCGCCTCAGCCTCCTTAGTAGCTGGAACTACAGGCATATGCCACCATGCATGCCTGGCTACTCTTAGTATTTTTTGTAGAGACAGGGCCTTACTATGTTGCCCAGGCTGGTCTTGAACTCCTGGGTTCAAGGAATCCTCCCACCTTGGCCTCCCAAAGTGTTTGGATTATAGGCGTGGGCCACTGTGCCTGACCTCTTGAGTGGTTTTGTTTTGTTTTAGTTATAGCTTTTATAGTCAGACAATCCAGCTTTTATATTACTGCCTCTGCTCGTTAGAGGTCACCTAGGGGCTGGGGCATTTCTGTTTTGTTTACTTTTTGCCACTTAACCTGTTCAAAGAAAATGTCATGCAGAAAAGTGTCAGTACAAAGCAGCTAAAAGCAGAGCTGCTGTTGTTGAAGTCAGAGAAAGAGGTACTGTCCCTGAGTTTCCCTGTCCCTGAGAAGGCCTCAGAACAGTTTACACGTCTTGGAGGTAGCCCAACCTGCTCTTTATATAGATGGAGAAACTGAGTCTAGAGCTGGAATGTGACTTATCTAAGAGTTAGGGTCAAAGGTAAACCAGAATCTTTCTTTACTAAATTCTGGTTCACTGCTCATTTTACTATCCTTTGCTGAGTTATATCAGCATCTTAAAATCTTCCTTAACTCTCTGATCCAGTATTTTTCATATTTACAATGCAAAACAAAGGAAATAAAGCCCTCTTCCTTTTTTTGGCATGTTAAGAGAAAAAAATAGGGGCAGATCTCCCATCTCCAAACAACCTTTTCTTCCTTTCAGACATTCTTGCCTTTTGTGTTCCTCTTGTTCGGAGGTCCTTAAGGTCTCTGTCAGTCTATGTTGTTTTTAAAGTTGGTGATGTGGGTCAGGCCTGGCGCCTCACACCTGTAATCCCAGTTTTGGGAAGCCAAGATGGGTGGATCACCTGAGGTCAAGAGTTCAAGACCAGCCTGGCCAACATGGCGAAACCCGGTCTCTACTAAAAATAAAAATTAGTTGGGTGTTGTGGCAGGCACCTGTAATCCCAGCTACTTGGGAGGCTGAGGCAGGAGAATGGCTTGAACCTAGGAGGCAGTGGTTGCAGTGAGCCGAGATCGCACCACTGAACTCCAGCCTGGGTGAAAGAGCAAAACTCTGTCTCAAAATAAATAAATAAATAAATAATAAAGATGGTGATGTCATAGTGGTTACCCCAGAATTTTTTCTTTTTTTGAGATCTGTGACAGTCACTGAAAGGCATCCTAATATGTATTATAGGAGTGTGGGGCTGATTGTGCCAAGTTCCAGAAGAGTGAGCTGGAATTCAAGTTTAATCGGAAAGCCTTGGCGAGGCCGTACACCTCAAAGCATTCCTGGGGGAAGACATATGGGGAGCACAAACGACATCTGGAGTTCAGCCATGACCAGTACAGGGAGCTGCAGAAGTACGCCGAGGAGGTTGGGATCTTCTTCACTGCCTCTGGCATGGATGAGGTGAGCCTCCTGCTGCTCTGTCATTTGTCACTTTAGCAGACCATGTTCAGCTGGCAGCCTGTTGACTTCCAGCTTAGGGCCAGCTCCAGCCCTTGCTCATCTTATCTGTGCCCAACTACTGGAGAGGCTAGCAGGTGCCAAAGCCCAGTGAGAATTTGTAGGAAGGATGCCATTGTTTTAAAAACAAGTTGTCTCTGGCCAGGCGCGGTGGCTTATGCCTGTAATCCCAGCACTTTGGGAGGATGAGGAGGGTGGATCACCTGAGGTCAGGAGTTCAAATCCAGCCTGGCCAACATGGTGAAAACCCAGTCTCTACTAAATGTACAAAAATTAGCTGGGTGTGGTGGCGTGTACCTATAATCCCAGTTACTCAGGAGGCTGAGGCAGGAGAATCACTTGAACCTGGGAGGTGGAGATGGTAGTGAGCCAAGATCTTGCCACTGAACTCCAGCCTGGCAACAGAGCAAGACTCCATCTCAAATTTAAAAAAAAAAAAAAAAGGGCTGGGTGCCGTGTCTCATACCTGTAGTCCCAGCACTTTGGGAGGCCGAGGTGGGCAGATCATGAGGTCGAGAGATCGAGACCATCCTGGCCAACATGGTGAAACCCCATATCTACTAAAATAAAAAAATTAGCCGGGTATGGAGGCACGTGCCTGTAATCCCAGCTACTCAGGAGGCAGAGGCAGGAGAATCACTTGAACCTGGGAGGTGGAGGTTGTAATGAGCTGAGATTACGCCTCTGCACTCCAGCCTGGCAGTAGAGCTCTCTCAATAATACTCCATCTCAATAATAATAACAACAACAACAACAAATAGCAAGTTGTCTGGAAGTAGGGAGCAGCCACAATGGAATCCCAGAGTCCCTCCAAGTTTGTGGGGACACCCCACTTGGCCAGGTTTCTCCTCATAGAAAATGGTCTGGAAACCAGTGTCTGGGTGTGGTGGCTCACACCTGTAATCCCAGAGCTTTGGGAGGCTGAGCTGGAAGGATCGTTTGAGGCCAGGTGTGCAAGACCAGCATGGGCAACATAGGGAGACCCCTATCCCTACAAAAAACACAAAAATTAGCCAGGCGTGGTGGTGCACTCCTATAGTCTAGGAGGCTGAGGATTGCTTGAGCTCACATATTTGGGACTGCCTTGAGCCATGAATGGGCCACTGTGCTCCAGCCTGGGTGATAGGGCAAGACCCTGCCTCACACACACACAAAAAGAGCAAGGAAACCACAATTTTGGAGTTTGCCCCTTGCTGACTAGCCTTGACTGACTTGAGTGGGGAGACATTGGCATTGTCCAGAAGGAAGTGACTTGCAGGATTGTCACAGGTGGGTTTTGGCTTGGCCATGCTACATCCTGGGAGAGTCCAGCTAGTGTGAGGTCCTGGGCCTCATCTGCTCTGTGACCTGCCTCCTTAAAATTTCTTCATATGTTCTTTTGAATGTAAAAAACTTTTAGTTGTAAAAATAACATTACAAAGTTTAGAGAACAAGAAAAGGGGAGAAAATTGACCCATAATCCCTCTGTAGTAGCTCTTTTTATATATTTCCGCAAGTCTTTTTATATGCTTGTTTTATTGCCTGCTTGTGCTCTTTAGTGAACACTGAGTTCTGTGCATGCTCGTTTTAGTTAACATTATAGCACGAACTTTTACCCAAGCATAAAACCTTATGCTTGAAGATTTTAATAGCAATGTAATACTTCTTTTGCCTCATGGACTATCTATAGCTAACCATTCCTCTACTTTTGGACATGGAGCTTATTTTAGGTTTTTTTTTGTTTTGTTTTGTTTTTTGAGATGGAGTCTTGCTCTGTTATCCAAGCTGCAGTGCAGTGGTGCACTCTTGGCTCACTGCAACCTCCACCTCCTGGGTTGAAGCGATTCTCCTGCCTCAGCCTCCTGAGTAGCTGGGACAGATATGCACTCCCATGCTCAGCTAATTTTGTTGTATTTTTAGTAGAGACAGGGTTTCACCATGTTAGTCAGGTACGTGGTGACAAGGATACAAAGAAAATAGGTCATGCATATATTGCTGGTGGGAATGTAGAATGATCCAATCATGCTAGAAAATAGTTCATTCCTTCTTTTTTAAACAGCCTTATTGGGACATAATTCATATGCTGTACAATTCAACCATTTACAGTGGACTGGGAGTTTCTTATAAAGCTAGACATGTGTTTATCATATGACCCACCAGCTGTCATTTAATAATTTATCCCCAAAGAAGTGAAAACTTAACATTCATACAAAAACTTGTACGTGAGTGTCATCACAACTTTTATTCTTAGTAGCTCAAAACTAGAACAAGTGAAATGTTCTTCAGCGGGTGAATGGTGAAACACTGGTACAAACGTACCATTGAGTGCTGCTCAGCAATCAGAAGGCATGAACTGTTGATGTGCGCAGCAGCCTGGATGCATCTCAAGGATATGATGCTGAGTGAGAAAGCAGCATGCACAGAAGGTTGCATTCTGTGCAATTCTGCTTACATGACATTCTGGAAATAACAGAATTATGAGGATGGAGAACAGACAAGTAGTTGCCAAAGGTTAGTCAGGGGAAGGGGCTGTGCTTATAAAGGGGTGACAGGAAAAGTCCTTGTAGCAGTGGCATCATGGTACCTTCTGTATGTTGAAAGATATGTATACTCTTTAGTAATTTTTTTTTTTGAGACAGGGTCTCGCTTGGTTGCCCAGGCTGGAGAGTAGTGACACAATCATAGCTCATAGCTCACTGCAGCCTCGACCGCCCAGGCGCAAGCAATCCTCCCATGTCAGCCTCCTTAGTAGCTGGGACTACAGGTGCATACCACCATGACCAGCTAATTTCTAAATTTTTTGTAGAGATGGGTTTCCCTATGTTCCCTAGGCTGGTCCTAAACTCTGGGCCTCAAGTAGTCTCCCACCTTGGCTTCCCAAAGTGCTAGGATTATAGGTGTGAACCACTGTACCTGGCTTCCTCAGTAATTTTTAAGATTCTAAAGAAGAAAACATTTAGGACCCTATGCTGAATGGTGTGTATGCATACCCCGCTGTGTGGTGTGTACCCTGGCTATATGACAGCATGGCTGCATGGCACACACCTCAGCTGTACGGTACATACCCATGCTGAGTGGTCCATACCCCAGCTGTATGATACACACCCTAGCTGTATGGTACACACCCTGCCATGTGGCCCATCCCCCGGCTGTATGGCCCAGTGGCCAAATGAATGGACTGTAAGGTCAGATTTATTTTTTTTTCTTTGAGACATAGTCTTGCACTGTCGCCCAGCCTGGAGTGCACTGGTGTGATCTTGGCTCACTGCAACCTCCACCTACCGGGCTCAAATGATTCTCCTGCCTCAGCCTCCCGAGTAGCTGGGATTATAGGTGCCCGCCATTATGCCCAGCTAATTTTGTATTTTTTTAGTAGACCGAGTTTCACCATTTTGGCCAGGCTGATCTTGAACTCCTGACGTCGCGATCTGCCCACCTCAGCCTCCCAAAGTGCTAGGATTACAGGTGTGAGCCACCACGCCTGGCCTAAGGTCAAATTTTAAGTTGTTGTATTTTTTGAGATGGAGTCTTGCTCTGTTGCCCACATTGGAGTGTAATGGCATGATCTCAGGTCACTGCAGCCTCCGCCTCCCGAGTTCAAGCCATTCTCCTGCCTCAGCCTCACAGTTAGCTGGGACTACAGGCATGCACCACCATGACCAGCTAATTTTTTTTTTTTTTTTTTTTTTTGGTATTAATGGAAATGGGGTTTCACAATGCTGGCCAGGCTGGTCTTGAACTCCTGAGCTTATTAAATGTGATTGTTAATATAAAGCATAGTACACAATCAGTATTCAGTGAATGTTAGTTACAGTTAAGGAAAGCAACCTGTGCTAAAGGCTGGGACATCTGGGTATTTTTTTTTTGAGACGGAGTTTCGCTCTTGTTACCCAGGCTGGAGTGCAATGGTGCGATCTCGGCTTACCGCAACCTCCGCCTCCTGGGTTCAGGCAATTCTCCTGCCTCAGCCTCCTGAGTAGCTGGGATTACAGGCATGCGCCACCATGCCCAGCTAATTTTTTGTATTTTTAGTAGAGACGGGGTTTCACCATGTTGACCAGGATGGTCTCAATCTCTTGACCTCGTGATCTACCTGCCTCGGCCTCCCAAAGTGTGACATCTGGGTATTTGCCCTGACTTTGCCCTTAACTCTCGGTGTGACCTTGGTGAGCCAATTCTCTGCCTGGGCCTCCATTTTCTTTTCTGTGACCAAGCTGCCATCCAAGGACTCTCCCTATTCTGGTGTCCTGAGTCAGCACAGAACCAGGGAAGATACCAAGGTGACTTGCACCTGGAATGGGGACTTTTCTGCTTCCGACCACATTTCCTGATATTGGGAGCTCCCTGAGCTCCTGGATCTGACCTAGGAGAAAGGTGCCTCCTTGCACCTGGGAGGCTGCCGAGGTGGACCGTGGTCTGCAGTTGGCATCAGCGGACAACCTTGAGAACTTGGAGTGGTTGGGCAAAAGGGAGGAGTCTGGTTTGTAGCGGGACTTGGTTTTCCTTCCCTCCACTCACCAGGCAGCCCATCTGCTTGCTGTCTGGAAGGTGTGTTTTAGAGCCAGGTTCTCTGAGCTCAGCTGCTGGTGCTCACACTCTCTCTGTGTGGCTTGGGCTCCTCATGTAACCTAGGAGCTGCAGGGGGCCCCATCTGTAAAAACAGGATTGTTAAGATGCCTTCCCCCTAGGGCTATCTTGAGTATTCAGGGAGCTAAGCCTGTGGGGGTGCCAGCACAGGGCCAGGTCTGCATTCACCCAGCGATGGCCATTCTGTTACTCAGAACCCTTTGGAGTTTTCTGCTTTAGCCTATTTGGGCAGGGAGAGTCCTCTGGACAAGGAATGCCATTTGTCCCCAGCTGGTTCCCTGTCTGATCTAAGTCATGGGCAGTGAGGGGAAAGAGCCTTTACAGGAGTTACTTTGCCTTGCCATCTGTAAACGGTTGGAGGTGGGCTGGTTCCTTGTTCTGCACTTACCTAGCAGGTGGCTCCCAGTGTTTACCTATCCTAACTTCCTTATAGAAGCAGGCATTTATTGCATGCCTGTTTTCTCCACACTACATGCTGTTCTAGGGCGTTCTCTGTGTGCTGAGGAAAGGTTAAGGAGTGGCAGAATTTTATTAAGACCAAGGAAACTGTCAGGGCTTCTGGTTGGAAGTTGTATCATTAATCCAAATGGAAAGTTCTGTTGAGAAGGCAAATGGAAGCCATGACCACAGCCGTGACTCCTGAGGGACATGCTACCCTCACACAGTGACATCTCAGCAGAGCCACCATTCCCTCCAGCACCTGCCACTGTTCCAGTAATGGTGCCCTCTCACAGGCCACTGCCTGAGGCCAGCCCAGGCTGACTTCCTCTTCTCCCCAGCTCATCACCATGGGCTTTTTTCTTTTTTTTGTTTTCAGACGGAGGCTTGCTTTTGTCACCCAGGCTGGAGTACAATGGTGCAATCTTGGCTCATTGCAACCTCTGCCACCTGGGTTGAAGCGCTTCTCCTGCCTCAGCCTCCTGAGTAGCTGGGATTACAGACATGCGCCACCACGCTGGGCTAATTTTTGTATTTTTAGTAGAGACAGGGTTTCACCATGTTGGCCAGGCTAGTCTCAAACTCCTGACCTTGTGATCCTCCTGCCTTGGCCTCCCAAAGTGTTGGGATTACAGACGTGAGCCACCGTGACTGGCCTGGGCTTCTTTTTTTTTATCTGCAGGATCCAAAAACTGAGGGAAGAGGGAGGGACTTTGGAAAATCTCAGCTCCACTCCTCTCTTTCCTTACCCCTGACTTAGATCAGTGGTTCCCAGAGTGTCCCACAGGGCACAGAACAGAAAGGGAGTTCTTTGGGCATGCGTTGTCCACCCTCATTTATTAATTTATTCAGAATCAATAAAGGGTTTATTGGTTTTTGTTTTGTCACCCAGGGTGGAGTGCAGTGACACAATCTCAGCTCAGTACAGCCTCGACCTTTTGGGTTCAAGCAGTCCTCCCACTTCAGCCTCCCGAGTAGCTGGGACTGCAGGCACATGCCACCATGCCCAGCTAATTTTTATATTTTTTGTAGAAACGGGATTTCGCCACGTTGCCCAGGCTGGTGTCAAACTCCTGAGCTAAAATAATCCTCCTGTCTTGGCTTCCCAAAATGCTGGGGTTACAGGCATGCACCTCTGTGCCTGGCCAGAATTTAGTGAGTTGAGTAAGTTTGGGAAACACTGGGTTTGGAACTGATTTACTGGGACCCTCTAAGAAGGTATTAAAGCAGTGCAGTGTTTCTCCCTAACGAGGCTGTCTATGGGACCCGTTTCTGCATGTTAAATTCATTTAAGTGCCGAAGAAGGGTTGTACATGCCTGCGTTCCTTTCAGACTCCCACAGACTTTGTGCTATGGGACAGGAGGGAGAGAGGAGTACTGAGGCTTCCACAGGCTGCATGGAGCTCTAGATGGAGACGGAACCCGAGAGCAGGGTGGGCAGGCTAAGGGAAGCCAAGGAGTCCATGGAGAGAAAGGGGTCACCAGTTGCTGACCCAGCCTGTGGTAGCTCCTGGGCATAGCGATACCGTCTTAGGGCTGAAAGTTAGGATCTTTCAGATTACTCAGATTCCCTTTGCAGGATGGATCTGAAGTGGCAGTTTTCTAAATGGCCACTGGGTGGCGTTGGCGCCCCAGGAGAACGGCAGAAAGAGGCCCCCTTCCCTTTCCAGCAGGAATTGGCCCCCTTTTCCTTACTTGAAAACTATAGAATTCCATGCAGATTTTACGGCCTCTGTAGGTAAGCTTTTACAAAGTGTTTTTTCTGCACTTGGCCCCCTTCCTTGCCCCTGCTTGTCCTGCCCCTCTCCTGAGGGGGTTCATGCATCTGTTTATGTGCTGGAGGGCCACACTACACTCCCACAAGGTGAACATTATACAAAAGAAAACTCAGTGGAAGTTTCCTTCTTTTAGCAGAAAGCACTCTCTTCTTCTGCCAGATGGAGTGAGAAGAAGGGTAGGAAAATGAAACTTTATTCAAAAAATATAGTTAAAACTGTTTTTCAATTCTGTCTTAAGGCTAGTTAGCAGTGTGAGACACCAACAGGACAGAGTGAGGGAGAAAAGTATGGAAGGTACTGGGCATGGTGGCTGAAGCTTGTAATCCCAGCACTGTGGGAGGCCAGAGTGGGACAACTGCTTGAGGCCAGGAGTTTGAGAACAGCCCAGGCAACATAGCAAGACCCCATCTCTACAACAAATTAAAAAAAAAATTAGCTGGGCGCGGTAGCTCATGCTTATAATCCCAGCACTTTGGGAGGCCAAGACTGGTGGATCACAAGGTCAAGAGATCAAGACCATCCTGGTCAACATGGCAAAACCCCGTCTCTACTAAAAATACAATTTAGCTGGGCATGGTGGTGCATGCCTGTAGTCCCAGCTACTCGGGAGGCTGAGGCAGGAGAATTGCTTGAACCCAGGAGACGGAGGTTGCGGTGAGCCGAAATCACGCCATTGCACTCCAGCAACCGGGTAAAAAGAGTGAAACTCCGTCTCAAGAAAAAAAAAAAAATTAGCCACATGTGGTGGCACGTGCCTATGGTCCCAGCTACTTGGGAGACTGGGGCAGGAGGACTGCTTGATCCCAGGAGTTTGAGACCAGTCTGGGCAACATAGCAAGACCCCATCTCTACCAGAAAAGAAAAGGATAGAAAGGAAAAGAAGAGGAAAAAATAAAGTGGAGAGGAAGAGCAGTAAGAATGGCATCAAAGGGGGCAGGGCACGGTGGCTCACACCTGTAATCCCAGCACTTTGGGAGGCTGAAGCGGGCAGATCACTTGAGGTCAGGAGTTCAAGACCAGCCTGGCCAATGTGGTGAAATGCCATCTCAACTAAAAACATAAAAATTAGCTGGGGAACTTGTAATTCCAGCAACTTGGGAGGCTGAGGCTGGAGAATTGCTTGAACCTGGGAGGCAGAGATTGCAGTGAGCCAAGATGGCGCTATTGCACTCCAGCCTGGGGGACAAAAGCAAAATTCTGTCTCAAAACAAAAAAAGAATGGCATCAAAGGTTAGATGCTTGGAGTTTGGAGATGAGTGGCACTCTGGCCCTGAGGCACAGTGTCTCTTGGATCAAGAGGGATGCAAAATGCCCTGGAACTGTTCCCTGACTGGCGAACCAGCAACTCCCAGCCACAATTCAGAGAGCTTACAAGGGAGTGGTTATTCTCTGAGTGCAGGAGTTATTTTCTGAGTGTTAGGAGTAGCTCAGCCTCTGCTGGGAAGATGAACACAAATCTACTATAGTGGGTGGGTACATTTCAAGAGCCACTTGCAGAATTACGTTGTATGTTCCTTAGTGTGCTTGTACTCTCTGGATTCTCACTCAGCGTATGATTTGAGGGCCAGTAGCAGTGTTATACCCTAGTAAGTCAAGGAATGCGCCATACTCTGAGATTGAATTATGAGTCCTTTATTTTAGCCAGTGACCGAGAGGTGGCTAACGCCCAAAATTCTCTCGGCCCCGAAGAGTCGGGGTTTCTTATACCCCAATTTGAAAAGGGAGGGGGGAACCTAACTGAAGGCAAGTTTTTCATAGAAGCAGAGTAAGCAAAAAGTTAAAAGGTAAACTAGTACATGAGAAATAAAACAGTACCGGGGCAAGGGCTAAAGATGTCATAAAAAAGACATACAACTTACAGATATGGGGGCTCTGGGTATTCAATAGCACCTGCATTCCCAGGCTCTGTTGGTGCCGCCTAACTCGGCCTCTTATCAGCAAATGCACTCCTGGGTGTGCCCAGTGTCATCCTGCCCCAGCTACATACTACAGTTACATACTTAATGAGGGGAATAACTAAACTGAAGAAGCTAAGATGGAGTCTTTCCAGCTCAAGAAGCTAACAAGAAGCCTGAACAGCTCTCAGCTAAGAGAGAGAGTCAGTTTAAGCTAACAAAAAGCAGGTTATCAGAGCAGAAACAGCAGCATTACCCAGGAGCTCTTAGAAATTCAGGCTCTGGCTAGGTGTGGTGGCTCACGCCTGTAATCCCAGCACTTTCAGAGGCTGAGGCAGGAGGATCCCTTGAGCCCAGGCATTCCAGACCACCCTGGGCAACATAATGAGACATTGTCAAGAAATAAAAGGAAAAGGAAAGAAAAAGAAAGAAAGGAGAGAAAAGAAAAGAAAGAAAAAAATACAGGCTTTCAGGTCTCGTCCTATGCCAATCAAATCAGAATATGCATTTCATTTTAGCAAGATCCCTGGGAGAGGGAGAGATCTGTGCGCACATGATCAAGTGTGAGAAACTCACTAAGCCCTAACTTATTTCTGAGTCACAGGCATCATTTTAGGATAGAACTAAGATATTTGGAACCATTCACAGACATTGTTTTTTTTTGCCACTTTTGATTTCCAACTTCAAAACAGTAGGACTCAAGAACACTTGAAGGTGTTGTGTATGTTTATTACACTGTGGTGATGGTAGCAGTGATGTACACTTAAGTCCAAACTCGCCAAATTACATCTATTATATGCAGTTTTGGTATATCAATTATACCTTATTGAAGCTAGAAGGAAGTGGTAATAAAGTTTTTGAGTTTTATAATTTGACAGCAAACTGAGATTTTCTTACAACTTGTGATCCAGTAATTCCTTTAGCAAGCATTTGCTGACATTGACCAATTTCCTGAGTCTTGTTGATGAATCCTATAGAAGGATGTTGAAGTGCCGTGCCCTAAATAGGTAACCTCAAGCAGTGATGTTATAGCTGAAAAAAGTGACTGAGGTTCACTTTTCTGAGGGTAGCGTCGTTTGAGGCCTGAAAGGGCTTGGGCTGAATGGGCCCTGCCAGCCATGATCTCTGTCAAGGCTGGGGGGAAAAATGCTTCATTTTCCCCCTTTCGCAAAGGATTGAAATAGCCCCTTTTCCTGCTTTTTTGGCCCTGAGGGGAAAGTCTTTGAGACTATTCACTTTCTCACTGCCTAGTTTTCTGGGTCAAGATTAGGTCATGACCGGTTCATGTTTGTTCATTGGGCCTTGGGTTCCTGGGGCAGGCAGGGTCTGGCCAGGGGAATGATTGTTTTCCAGATTCTTTTTTTTTTTTGAGCTGGAGTCTCGCTCTGTCATCCAGGCTGGAGTGCAGTGGCACAATCTCTGCTCACTGCAAACTCCACCTCCCGGGTTCAAGTGATTCCCCTGCCTCAGTCTCCTGAGTAGCTGGAATTACAGATGTGTACCACCATTCCCAGATACCTTTTGTATTTTTAGTAGAGATGGGGTTTCACTTTGTTGGTCAGGCTGGTCTTGAACTCCTGACCTCGGGATCTGCCCACCTTGGTCTCCTAAAGTCCTGGGATTACAGGCCTGAGCCACCATACCCCGCCCTTTTCCAGATTCTTGTAGCCAGCAAAGACCAGCACCAAATGTTTATTGGACTAATGGATGGGTGGATGTGAATTAAATGTTCAAGTTTGAATGCAATGACTGAGAATGAATCTTTGCCCACTTTCAAGTTGTTGAGAGTCCCTCTACTGCATATAAGGAGGGATTTTTCTGTTTCTGAATAACATTTATTCCTCACCTGTCATGACAATAGTGTTTTTGAACAAGGGTGAAAAGGAGCTCCCTCTTTAATTTTTGTAGATGGCAGTTGAATTCCTACATGAACTGAATGTTCCATTTTTCAAAGTTGGATCTGGAGATACTAATAATTTTCCTTATCTGGAAAAGACAGCCAAAAAAGGTAAGTGTCTAATTTTTATTTTTTAATTTTTATTATGGTGCTGTGACTCAGGTGTCTAATTTTTGACGTAAAATCCAAGGGAGTCCAAACCTTCTTCATATTTTTACTCCCCTCATGGTGGCCCACTTTGAGGCAGATTTCATGAAGACAAATTTTAGAAGCCTCTTTAAATTTTTTTTAAAAAATAGAGACAGGGTTTTGCTATGTTGGCCAGGCTGGTCTTGAACTTTTGACCTCAAGCAATCCTCCCATCTTGGCCTCCCAACATGCTAGGATTACAGGCATGAGCCACTGTGCCCTGCCAGAACCTCTTTCCTTTTCTTTCTTTTTTTTTTAGATGGAGTCTCACTTTGTCACCAGGCTGGAGTGCAGTGGTGCGATCTCTGCTCACTGCAATCTCTGCCTCCTGGGTTCAAGCGATTCTCCTGCCTCAGCCTCCTGAGTAACTGTGGGACTACAGGTGTGTGCCACCATGCCCAGCTAATTTGTATATTTTTAGTACAGATGGGGTTTCACCTTCTTGGCCAGGATGGTCTGGCTCTCTTGACCTCATGATCCACCCACCTTGGCCTCCCAAAGCACTGGGATTACAGGCATGAGCCACCACGCCTGGCCGCAGAAACCTCTTTTCAATCAGCCTGTGCTTCCACTTTTTGTGTGCAAAGTTGAAAGAAAATTAAGGATATAACAGTTTTTATAAGACACTAAAAAATTTAAGAAAAAAATTAAAAAAATATATATTATTGCATCTTAGGTTTTGGGGTACATGTGAAGAACATGTAAGATTGTTGCATAGGTGCACAGAAGGCAGTGTGGTTTGCTGCCTTTACATCACCTATATCTGGCATTTCTCCCCATGTTATCTCTCCCCAACTCCCCACTGCCCACTGTCCCTCCCCTAGTTACCCCTAATAGACAGCATGTGATGCTCCGCTCCCTGTGTCCATGTGTTCTCATTGTTCAACACTCCCCTATGAGTGAGAACATGCAGTGTTTGATTTTCTGTTCTTGTGTCAGTTTGCTGAGATCGCACCACTGCACTCCAGCCTGGTGACAAAGTGAGACTCCATCTAAAAAAAAAAGAAAGAAAAGGAAAGAGGTTCTGGCAGGGCACAGTGGCTCATGCCTGTAATCCTAGCATATTGGGAGGCCAAGATGGGAGGATTGCTTGAGGCCAAAAGTTCAAGACCAGCCTGGCCAACATAGCAAAACCCTGTCTCTATTTTTTAAAAAAAAGGTGGTTTCCAGGTTCATCCGTGTCCCTAAAAAGGACACAAACTCATCGTTTTTGATGGCTGCATAGTATTCCATGGTGTATAAGTGTCACATTTTCCCTGTCCAGTCTATCATCAATGTGCATTTGGGTTGGTTCCAAGTCTTTGCTAATGTAAACAGTGCTGCAGTGAACATTCATCTGCATGTGTCCTTACAATAGAACGATTTATAATCCTTTGGCTATATACCCAGTAATGGGATTGCTGGGTCAAATGGAATTTCTATTTCTGGGTCCTTGAGGAACTGCCACACTGTCTTCCACAATGGTTGAACTAGTTTACACTCCCACCAGCAGTGTAAAAGTGTTCCTATTTCTCCACATCCTCTCCACCATCTGTTGTCTCCAGATTTTTTAATGATTGCCATTCTGGCATGAGATGATATCTCAATGTAGTTTTGATTTGCATTTCGCTAATGACCAGTGATGATGAGCATTTTTTCATGTGTTTGTTGGCCTCATTTATGTCTTCTTTTGTAAAGTGTCTGTTCATATCCTCTACCTGCTTTTGAATGGGCTTGTTTGGTTTTTTCTTGTAAATCTGTTTTAGTTCTTTATAGATTCTGGATATTAGCTTTTTGTCAGATGGGTAGATTGCAAAAAACTTTTTCCCATTCTGCTGGTTACCAATTCACTCTAATGACTGTTTCTTTTGCTATGCAAAAGCTATGGAGTTTGATTAGGTCCCATTTGTCTATTTTGGCTTTTGTTGCCAGTGCTTTTGGTGTTTTAGTCATGAAGTCCTTGCCTGTGCCTATGTCCTGAATGGTTTTGCCTAGGTTTTCTTCTAGGGTTTTTATGGTGTTAGGTCTTATGTTTAAGTCTTTAATCCATCTGGAGTTAATTTTAGTGTAAGATGTCAGGAAGGGGTCCAGTTTATGTTTTCTGCACATGGCTAGCTGGTTTTCCCAACACCATTTATTAAATAGGGAGTCCTTTCCCCATTGCTTGTTTTTGTCAGATTTGTCAAAGATCAGATGGTTGTAGATGTGTGGCATTGCCTCCGAGGCCTCTGTTCTGTTCCATTGGTCTATATCTCTGTTTTGGTACCAGTACCATGCTGTTTTGATTACTGTAGCCTTGTAGTATAGTTTGAAGTCCAGTAGTGTGATGCCTCCAGCTTTGTTCTTTTTGCTTAGAATTGACTTGGCTATGCAGGCTCTGTTTTGGTTCCATATGGAGTTTAAGGTGGTTTATTTTCCAGTTCTGTGAAGGCCATCAGTAGCTTGATGGAGATAGCATTGAATCTGTAAATTACTTTGGGCAGTATGGCCATTTTCATTATATTGATTCTTCCTAACCATGAGCATGGAATGTTTCTCCATCTGTTTGTGTCCTCTCTTATTTTGTTGAGCAGTGCTTTGTAGTTCTCCTGGAAGAGGTCCTTTACATTCTTTGTTGTATTCCTAGGTATTTTGTTCTCTTTGTAGCAATTGTGAATGGCAGTTTGTTCTTGATTTGGCTCTCTTTAAGTCTGTTATTAATGTATAGGAATGCTTGTGATTTCTGCACATTGATTTTGTATCCCGAGACTTTGCTGAAGTTGCTTATCATTTTCAGGAGATTTTAGGCTGAGACAATGGGGTCTTCTAAATATACAATCATGTTGTCTGCAAATAGAAACAATTTGACTTCCTCCTTTCCTAATTGAATACGCTTTATTTCTTTTTCTTGCCTGATTCCTCTGGCTAGAACTTCCAATAATGTATTGAATAGGAGCGGTGAGAGAGGACATCCTTGTCTTGTGCCAGATTTCAAAGGGAATGCTTCCAGTTTTTGCCCATTCAATATGATATTGGCTGTGGGTTTGTCGTAAATAGCTTTTATTTTGAGATATGTTCCATCAATACCTAGTTTATTGAGAGTTTTTAGCATAAAGGGCTGTTGAATTTTGTCAAAGGCCTTCTCTGCATCTATTGAGATAATCACGTGGTTTTTGTCTTTGGTTCTGTTTATGTGGTGAATTACGTTTATAGACTTGCATATGTTGAACCAGCCTTGCATCGCCAGGATGAAGCCTACTTGATCATGGTGGATAAGCTTTTTGATGTGCTGTTGCAGTCGGTTTGCCAGTATTTTATTGAAGATTTATGCCTCTATTTTCATCATGGATATTGGCCTGAAGTTTTCTTTTCTTGTTAAGTCTCTGTCGGGTTTTGGTATCAGGATGATGTTGGTCTCGTAAAATAATTTGGGAAGGATTCCTTCTTTTTGGATTGTTTGGAATAGTTTCAGAAGGAATGGTACCAGGCTCCTCTTTGTTTGTCTGGTAGAATTCAGCTGTGAACCCATCTGGACCTGGGCTTTTCTTGGTTGGTAGGCTATTAATTGCTGCCTCAACTTCAGCCTTTGTCATTGGTCTATTCAGGGTTTCAACTTCTTCCTGGTTTAGGCTTGGGAGGATGCAAGTGTCCAGGAATTTATCCATTTCTTCCAGGTTTACTAGTTGATGTGCAGAGTTGTCTGTAAAATCTCTCATGGTTTGTATTTCTGTGGAATCAGTGGTGATATCCCCTTTATTGTTTTTTATTGCATCTATTTGATTATTCTCTCTTTACTTTTTTATTAATCTGGCTAGTGATCCGTCTGTTTTGTTGATCTTTTGGAAAAACCAGCTCCTGGATTTATTTTTTTGAACAGTTGTGTCTCTGTCTCCTTCAGTTCTGCTCTGATCTTAGTTATTTTTTGTCTTCTGCTAGGTTTTGAGTTTTTTTGATCTTGCTTCTCTAGCTCTTTCAATTTTGATGACAGGGTGTCAATTTTGGATCTTTCCTTGCTTCTCCTGTGGGCATTTATTGCTATATATTTTCCTCTAGATACTGCTTTAAATGTTGTGTCTTCGTTCTAGCTGATTTTGAAGAAGATCTTTATTTCTGCCTTCGTTTGTTTATCCAGTCAACATTCAAGAGCCAGTTAGTTGTTCAGTTTCCATGAAGTTCTGTGGTTCTCTCTTTGCTTCTGAATTCTGAGTTCTAATTTGATTGCACTATGGTCTGAGACACTGTTCGTTATGATTTCCATTCTTTTGCATTTGCTGAGGAGTGATTTACTTCCAGTTATATGGTCAATTGTAGAGTAGGTGTGATGTGGTGCTGAGAAGAATGTATATTCTGTGGATTTGGGGTGGAGAGTTCTGTAAATGTCTATTAGGTTTGCTTGGTCCAGGTCTGAGTTCAAGTCCTGGATATCCTTGTTAATTTTCTGTCTGGTTGATCTGTCTAATATTGACAATGGGGTGTTGAAGTCTCCCACTATTATTGTGTGGGAGTCTAAAGTCTCTTTGTAGGTCATTAAGAACTTGCTTTATGTATCTGGGTGCTCCTGTATGGGTGTGTATATATTTAGGATCGTTAGCTCTTCTTGTTGCATTGATCCTTTTACCTTTATATAATGTCCTTCTTTGTCTCTTTTGATCTTTGTTGGTTTAAAGTCTGTTTTATCAGAGACAGGAATTCCAACTCCTGCTTTTTTTTTGCTCTCCATTTGCTTGGTAAATCTTCCTCCATCCCTTTATTTTGAGCCTTTGTGTATCCTTGCATGTGAGATGGGTTTCCTGGATACAGCACACCGATGGGTTTTGGCTTTTTATTCAATTGGCCAGTCTGTGTCTTTTGATTGGGGTGTTTAGTTCATTTACATTTAGGGTTAATACTGTTATGTGTGAATTTGATCCTGCCATTTTGATGCTAGCTGGTTGTTTTGCCCATTAGTTGATGCAGTTTCTTCATTGTATCGATGCTCTACCATTTGGTGTGTTTTTGGAGTGGCTGGTACTGGTTGTTCCTTTCTATGTTTAGTGCTTCTTTCAGGAGCTCTTGTAAAGTAGGTCTGGTGGTGATGAAATCTCTGAGTAATTGCTTGTTTGTAAAGGATTTTATTTCTCCTTTGCTTATGAAGCTTAGTTTGGCTGGATGTGAAATTCTGGGTTGAAAGTTCTTTTCTTGGCCGTGCGTGGTGGCTCATGCCTGTAATCCTAGCACTTTGGGAGGCCGAGGTGGTGGATCACCTGAGGTCAGGAGTTCAAGACCAGCCTGGCCATCATGGTAAAACCCCATCTTTAAAAAAAAAAAAAAAAAGAGAGAGGGGAAAAAAAGTTCTTTTCTTTAAGGATGTTGAGTATTGGCTCCCACTCTTCTGGTTTGTAGGGTTTCTGCTGAGAGATCCGCTGTGAGTCTGATGGCTTCCCTTTGTGGGTAACCCGGCCTTCCTCTGTGGCTGCCCTTAGCATTTTCTCCTTCATTTCAACCCTGGTGAATCTGCTGATTATGTGCCTTGGGGTTGCTCTTCTTGAGGAATGTCTTTGTGGTGTTCTCTGTATTTCCTGGACTTGAATAATGGCCTGCCTTGCTAGATTAGAGAAGTTTTCCTGGATAATATTCTGAAGAGTATTTTCCAGCTTGGATTCATTCTCTCCGTCACATTCAGGTACACCTATCAAATGTAGATTAGGTCTTTTCCCATAGTCCCATATTTCTTGGAGGCTTTGTTCATTTCTTTTTACCCTTTTTTTCTCTAATCTTGCCTTCTCGTTTTATTTCACTGAGTTGATCTTTGACCTCTGATAGCCTTTCTTCTGCTTGGTCAATTCTGCTACTGAAACTTGTGTATGCTTTGCAAAGTTCTCATGTTGTTTTTCAGCTCCATCAATTCATTTATATTCCTCTCTAAGCTGTTTATTCTCGTTAGCATTTCGTCAAACCTTTTTTCAAGGTTCTTAGTTTCTTTTCATTGGGTTAGAACATGTTCTTTTAGCTCAGAGAAGTTTCTTATTATCCACTTTCTGAATTCTGATTCTGTCAATTCATCACTCATTCTCCATCCAGTCTTGTTCCCCTGCTGGTGAGGAGTTGTGATCCCTTGTAGGAGGAGAGACGTTCTGGTTTTGGGTGTTTTCATCCTTTTTGCACTGGTTTCTTCCCATCTTCATGGATTTATTTACCTGTGGTCTTTGTAGTTGGTGACTTTCAGATGGGGTCTCTGAGTGGACATCCAGTTTGTTGATGATGAAGTTGAACGGGTGACTATCTCCCAGGCGTTCCAGTCACCAGTTGAAATGGCACCTGGATTTGTGTGATTTCTTATGTGGAGACCCGCTGCACCGGCTGAAACAGCTGCTGGAGACTCATGGCACTTTTTCGCCGGGGAGTCTCCTGGCCTGGCTCCCTATTTCAGTCCTCCCCTTTTTTTTTCAGTTGAACGGGTGACTGTCTCTCAGGTGTTCCAGTTGCCAGATGAAAAGGTACCCGGATTTGTGTGAGATTTTGTGCAGAGACCTGCTGTGCCGGCTGAAACAGCCACACTGGGGGCTCGTGGCACTTTTTCACCAGGGAATCTCCTGGCCTGGCATCCTGTTTCAGTCCCTCCTTTTTTTTCAGTTGAACGGGCAACTCTCTCAGTCCTTCCCAGTCACCTGTTGAAAAGGCACCCAGATCTGTGTGATTTCCTGTGCAGTGACCCACTGTGCCAGCTGAAACAGCCGCGCTGAAGATTCATGGCGCTTTTTTGCCTGGGAATCTCCTGGCCTGGCTCCCTGTTTCAGTCCCCTTTTTATCAGTTGAACAGGTGACTGTCTCCCAGGTGCTCCGGTCTTCAGCTAAAATGGTGCCCAGACCCATGTGAGTATTGTGCGGAGACCGGCCGTGACGGCAAAACAGCTGCGCTGACGACCTGAGGTGTTCCTCCGCCCAGGAATCTACTGGTCTGTGGGCAATAAAAATCCATCTGGGGCTGGGCGTGGTGGCTCACACCTATAATCCCAGCACTTTGGGAGGCTGAGGCAGGTGGATCACGAGGTCAAGAGATCAAAACCATCCTGGTCAACATGGTGAAACCCCATCTCTACTAAAAATACAAAAATTAGCTGGGCATGGTGGTGTGTGCTTGTAGTCCCAGCTACTTGGGAAGCTGAAGCAGGAGAATCGCTTGAACCCAGGAGGCGGAGGTTGTGGTGAGCTGAGATCGTGCCATTGCACGCCAGTCTGTGTAACAAGAGCGAAACTCCGTCTCAAAAAAGAAAGAAAAATCCATCTGGAATGCGGCATCCCCTCACCCTTCGTACTCTTGCTGGAAGCTGCTATCCAGAGCTGCTCCTAATGGGCCATCTTGGATCCCTCCCACGAAAAAAAATTTTTTAATAGCGACAAGGTCTCTCTGTTGCCCAGGTTGGTCTTGAATTCCTAGATTCAGGTGATCCTCTTCTGACCTCCAAAGTTTTGGGATTACAGCTGTGAGCCACTGTGCCTCTCCTAGAAAGATTTTTAATTAAAATTTATAAGAAAATAAGGCTATGACAGTGTATATAAAACCAAGCTTGGTGTGGTGGTACATACCTGTGGGTCCCAGCTACTCGGGAGGCTGAGGTAAGAGGATTGCTGGAGTTTGAGAGCACAGTGGGCTATGGTCATGCAAAGTGGTTTTACAACATATGAACAATTTCATTTCATTCTCATAATACCCCTAGGACTAAACCAGGTCATGATGATGATGCTTGATACTTATTTCAAGGGGAGGCCTCTGAGACTCAGAGGACAGTGCTCTGCCCAGGCACAGCTAGAAGTGGCAGCTCCGCACCTCACATTCATACTCAGATCAGGACACATTCTGCTATACTACCATGGTGTACAACCTACTAATAGATGAGATGTTCATTTTCCTCTTGGCAGTGTGAAATTCCTCTGCCTCTTCAATTCATTTGGCTCTAGAACACTATTGAGGGGCAGACGGGAGTCCACCTTACCTGTGGCCGAGGGCAGGAACCCAACAAGCTCCTCTCTGTTCCCCCACAGTGGCTGGCACAGTGTTTTAAGAGATGTTTGTGGAGTTCAGCTGAATGATGAGACCAGCAGTTGGGATGTGTTGGGGAGAATCAGAACCTCTAAAGAGACAGTGCTGATGGTGTTGGTACTGGGTTACTCAGGTCGCCCAATGGTGATCTCCAGCGGGATGCAGTCGATGGACACCATGAAGCAAGTCTATCAGATCGTGAAGCCCCTCAACCCCAACTTCTGCTTCTTGCAGTGTACCAGCGCGTACCCACTCCAGCCTGAGGATGTCAACCTGCGGGTCATCCCGGTGAGCAGGAGGGAAGGGGGGTCCCTTCTTGGGCTGTTTACTATGTGGAAGACGTAGTCATTTTTATAAACAATTCTAATAAACCATGGCATACTTTATAATTTGAACATCCTCTGACAGTCTTGCTGTTATCAAATCAAATTAGAACTAAGCAGTTGAGGAAGCACATACATTCAAAAGAGGGTGACAATAAGTGAAATTTTCTCGGCCGGGTGCGGTGGCTCATGCCTGTAATGCTAGCACTTTGGGAGGCCAAGACGGGTGAATCACGAGGTCAGGAGTTTGAGACCAGCCTGCCCAATATGGTGAAGCCCTGTGTCTACTAAAAAATACAAATATTAGCCAGGAATCATGGCACATGCCTGAAGTCCCAGCTACTTGGGAGGCTGAGCTACTTAGGAGGCTGAGGCAGGAGAATCGCTTGAACCCAGAAGGCGGAGGTTGCAGTGAGCTGAGATCGTGCCACTGCACTCCAGCCTGAGCAACAGACTGAGACTCTCTCAAAAAACGAAAGAAAGAAAAACTTTCTTAAAACCAATCTTAATTGGTCACTGCTTGAGCTTACCTATTTAGGGCGCTTCAACATCCTTCTCTAGGATTCATCAACAAGACTCAGGACATTGGTAAGGAATCACTGGATCATAAGCTATAAGAATAAAATCTCAGTTTGCTATCAAATTATAAAACTCAAAAACTTTCTGTTACTATTTCCTTCCAGCCTCAATAAAGTATAATTCATAAACCAAAACTGCACATAAACTCCAATTATAAAATTTAAAGTCGAGTCATCATCTTTGCCTTTAAATACATACACATCAGCAAATGGTTATGATGGCCAATCTTATGCTTTGTGTTTACCACAAAGGAAAAAAAAAGCAGACAATACACTGAGAGAGGAAACATTTTCAGATGTGCAGGTCAGTGGTATTCAGTACATTCATACTGTGTGCTACCATCACCACCATCCATCTCCAGAACTTTTTCATGCTCTCAAACTGAAACTTCACACCCAATAAACCCTAACTCTCTGGCTCTTGGCAACCACCATTCTACTTTCTGTCTCTATGAATTTGACTACTCCAGGCAAAGTGGAATCATACAGTATTTATCTGTGATTAGCTTTTTTCACTTAGCATGATGTCCTCAAGGATCATCCATGGTTGTAACGTGTCAGAATTTTCTTCCTTTTTAAGGCTGAGTAGTATTCCATCATGCATATATACCACATTTAAAAAACTCTACCCAAGGCCAGGCACAGAGGCTCATGCCTGTAATCCTACCACTTTGGGAGGTTGGGGTGGGTGGATCACCTAAGGTCAGGAGTTCGAAACCAGCCAGGCCAACATGGTGAAATCCCTTCTCTACTAAAAAACAGAAAAATTAACCAGGCATGGTGGTACACACCTGTGGTCTCAGCTATTCGGGAGGCTGAGGCAGGAGAATCACTTGAATTCAGGAGGCAGAGGTTGTAGTGAGTCAAGATCATGCCACTGCACTCCAGCCTGGGTGACAGGGTGAGACCCTATCTCAGAAAAAAACAAAACGAAACAAACAAAAACTACTCGTCAACAGACATTTGGGATGATTTTACCTTTTGACTATTGTGAGTGATGGTGCTACGAACACTAGTGTACAGATAAATATCCGTCTTTTTTCATACTGAGTTATAGGAGGCCTTCTAGAAACTTCTGGCTTTTTCTGCTTTGTCATTTGCTAGCTCTTATTTTCTAATTCTGACAGTGACAGCCCTAAGGGAGATTACTCTCTCCTAGGATTTTGCCTACTCAGTCATTTCACAGATGGTGAAGTCCAGTCCCAAGTGGGGAAGCCTGAGATCCCACAGCAGCTTGTGGCAAAGCTGGAACTACAACCTGGGCATGTTCTCCTAGTTCTTTGTCTCTTATTATCTCACACCATCTCTATCAGTTCTTCCTGTAGCACTGGAAATTTAACTTTGTTCAAAAATATATATGTAATTATCATTAAAACCATTATAGTAACATTAATGGAAATCTATCCACACATAATTCTGATATGCAGTTTTTTTTTCTCTGTCAACATGCTGCATTACTGATATTGCAGTTGTTTTCCTTTTATATTTTCCTTTCAGTACAGTATTTGACATTGTTTTTTCCCCTACTATAAGCTTTTTTTTTTTTTTTTTGAGACGGAGTTTCGCTCGTTAGCCAGGCTGGAGTGCAATGGCGCGATCTCAGCTCACCGCAACCTCCGCCTCCTGGGTTCAGGCAATTCTCCTGCCTCAGCCTCCTGAGTAGCTGGGATTACAGGCACGCGCCACCATGCCCAGCTAATTTTTTTGTATTTTTAGTAGAGACGGGGTTTCACCATGTTGACCAGGATGGTCTCAATCTCTTGACCCTCGTGATCCACCCACCTCGGCTTCCCAAAGTGCTGGGATTACAGGCTTGAGCCACCGCGCCTGGCCAATATAAGCTTTCTTACATATTTCTATACGGTCTTTAACTTTCAAAAGTTAGCCTTTTTGAAAACTGACATTGGTCTCTTCTCACCTAAACTTTGTCCCTCCCAAACCTGTTTTTGCTTCGCTTATAGCTTATCTAAATGGTTATTTTTTAAAATTAAATATCACTTATTATTAACTCTGAAACACACAATGTCGAAAGTAAACATCCCCTGCACTCCCAACCCAGAGATTTTGATAATAAACAGTTTAGTACACGTGACTCCAGATATTTTCCTTTTCAGCATATCGTAGCCACCCTTTCCTTTCTGTCCCCACTCAAGCTGCTCTTGTGCTCTCTCTTGACACCACGCGCGTTGCGGTATTTTGCCAGCCTACCCAGTCTTGGGCCTAGCTCATGCATGACACAGTGGTTTGGATTTCCAAACTTAGCAATCCATACTCTATCCCACATCCTTAAGCCTGATTTTCAAGGTTTTTGTTGCCTAACCCTCCTAATCCTTCATTAAACCCCACCTAAGGCCAGGTGCGGTGGCTCATGCCTGTAGTCCCAGCACTTTGGGAAGCTGAGGCAGGTGTTTTGCCTAAGGCCAGGAGTTCAGGACCAGCTTGGCCAATGTGATGAAACCCCGTCTCTACTAAAAATACAATAATTAGCTGGGCATGGTGGTGCACACCTGTAGTCCCAGCTACTTGGAAGGCTGAGGTAGGAGAATCACTTGAACCCAGGAGATGGAGGTTGTAGTGAGCCGTGATCATGCCACTGCACTCCAGCCTTGGCGACAGAGTGAGACCCTGTTTCAAAAAGAAATGACAAAAAAAATAATAATACACCCCACCTGAGTCTTTCTCCTGTACTCAGCTTTCTGGTCACCCTCACCAAGGGGACTCATCTGTCTTAGAGTGTCTTTTGTTGCATTCAGTGAATTACAGATAGCAGATTATCATTTCCACCAAAGGACTGTTTTGAGATTGAGCTGTGTATATTATTGATGGTGATATTTGTGCATATAGCACATTTGCTTTCAGCAGCTCAGGCAAATTAAATGTGACAGACGCTTTTTGAATGAGGTTATTCATTTATAGTTCTGTTGTTCTTCTTGGTGTATTGTGCAATGTGAAACATTCTTACAATGCCTTCTTTCTAAGAACAGTAACCATTGTTTTTAGGGCATTTACAGTGTGCTGAGTGCTTTTCCTACGTTGACAGCAACACTGCAGGCGCTATTATCATCTCTAGGAAAGAGAGGCTCAGAGAGCCTTAGTATCTTGCCCCTGGTTGCACAGCTAGTGAGTGGCTAAACTGGGGCTCAATCAGATGTGCTTGACCCTGGAGAATATGCATGAAGCAGCATGATATTTAACCTTATTTTTCTTTTTCTATTTTAAAGGAATATCAGAAGCTCTTTCCTGACATTCCCATAGGGTATTCTGGGCATGAAACAGGCATAGCGATATCTGTGGCCGCAGTGGCTTTGGGGGCCAAGGTGTTAGAGCGTCACATAACTTTGGACAAGACTTGGAAGGGGAGTGACCATTCAGCCTCGCTGGAGCCTGGAGAACTGGCCGAGCTAGTACGGTCAGTGCGCCTTGTGGAGCGTGCCCTAGGCTCCCCAACCAAGCAGCTGCTGCCCTGTGAAATGGCCTGCAATGAGAAGGTGCGTCCTGCCTGACTCCACTCATCTCTGCTGCTGTGAGCAGAAACAGGATAGGCTGACCTGGGAGGGATGGTCAGGACCAGCCCTCCCTGAGCGAGGCTGATGAAATGATGAAGGAATGTGCCCCTACCCCTGTCAGCTTCTTCAGGCTCCTCTTCAGTAATGCATGTCCCTCCTGCTGGTAGCAGCAGCAGGAGAAATTTGTTATCTAAAGGAAACTTTAGCGGTTTCTCTCGCCAGCTAGGATCACGTTAGAGTCTTCCACTAATTATCTGAAGCCCATGGCCCAGTACTTCTAGACTCCAGAATATGTAATGGGGGTGAGGCCCTGGAATATGTCAAGTCTGGGCTCCCTTGGAGCAGGTAAGCGCTGAGAAACATTTAGGTGAGGTGTCCCCTGAGGTACCAGAAGAGCCTATGGCATTTCCTAAGCCAGGGTGGCACTGGCTAGAGGGGCAGTGGGTCGTTGCAGGGGTGGGTGGGTGATGATGCAGCTATTCCTTGTGCAGCACTGACCTTCAGACGAGGGATGGTGGGCCTAGAAGCACTGCCTGGCATGCTGACTATCAGGGCTTCCTGAAAGCCATGGCCTGGACCTTCTTGCCTCTGAGTCATAGAGTCAGGCAGGCATCTGGGGGCTGCAGGTATGCGCACACACACCTAACCTCTGCAGCTGTCAGGGTCAAGGCAAAGACCAACACCAGGCATGCCTGGGACTGTGCTCATCTTTTATTCTAGTGGGGCCTCCCTGCTTCCCCAAATCAAAGATGCATATGTACCAGGAAATTAATAGTAAAAAAGAAAATTTCTTTATAGAGGAAACGAGAGAATTGGGCCAGAAACCAGAGTAAGATTTATAACAGCCAAGCACTTAATTTGGCTCCCTGAGCACACAGTGAAACCTAACAGGATGCAAGATTATCGCTTGACATTGTTTCCTGGCACTACATTCCAAGCAGAATTGATTCCTTACGCTTTTATGTGGAGGATGTAGAGTAATAGAGCATAATTTATTTGAAGGCATTTATGGAGAAGACAAACATTGGTCGTGAGCTTCAGGTACCCTTCATTCCCTCACCTGCCTGTCCAATCTGCTTCCTCGGGGCCCCTTCCTATCTACCCCTTCCTCAGGGGCTCCTTTTCTTGCCATGAGATTGAGCGGCATGGTGACCAAAGGAATCAGTTTGCATGTAGTGAGAGCATTCTGTGTTCCAGGTATGTTCTGTACTATCACCAATCCTTACCGCCATCTGACAGGATAGTTTGTTTGACAGAAACCAAAACATGGCCTATACCCTGCCGACTGGGATTTGAATCTGGCTCTGCCTACACAGCCTGAGCTGTTTCCTTTGCACTTTATTGTAAAGGCCCCTCCTCTGAGTCTCTGAATGTATGAGATATTCTGAGCAGTGTAGGGGTTGACAAGAGTCCCTGCTCCCAAGGTACTGTCTTAGTACTGATCAGGGACCTAGAGTGTACATAGTATACACTAATTAGTTCTGTGAAGCTGGCACTGAATGTTCATTTTGTCCACAGCTGGGCAAGTCTGTGGTGGCCAAAGTGAAAATTCCGGAAGGCACCATTCTAACAATGGACATGCTCACCGTGAAAGTAGGTGAGCCCAAAGGCTATCCTCCTGAAGACATCTTTAATCTAGTGGGCAAGAAGGCCCTGGTCACTATTGAAGAAGATGACACCATCATGGAAGAACTGGTAGATAATCATGGCAAAAAAATCAAGTCTTAAAATAAAGTGCCATTCTCTGCATTCTCAGTTCCCTTGCTGGTACTGTCGGGTGCGTCTGAGTGAGGCGGGGGCAGGAATGGTGGTCTCCAGGGACCTGGCCATCATCCACCTCCACCCGCTCCTTAGACAGCAAACATTTCTGGGCTAGGCCCTGTGTCAGCCCACTGGAGAGAGAAAAAGATCCAGTGAAGCAGTCTCTACTTCAAGTTGGCCAGCCCAGAAGGGGAGGTGGCTCCAAAGCAGTCCATATCCTCCAGTTGCTGGCTGGCTGCACAGGTCCTCTCCTGTAGTAAGCCTTCATTCCAATTGCTTACAGCCCTTTACTTCTCCATTGCCTTTATCCCTTTCCCACCCTTGGCATCTGTGTTTAGTTAGCATCATACAGCAGTCACTCCACATTAGAGAAAGGATTGGTCACAGGATCTTGTAGGCAGAAAAATGCTGAAGGCACTCCTCTCTGAGCAGAGGGAAATGGCATGTGTTCCTTCTCTGAACAAATATTGAGGGCCTTCTGTGTGCCAGGCACTGCTTTAGGCACAGAGGATATGGCCACTAATAGCCCCAATTCCTTCCTCAGGGAACTTCCATTGAGATGGGGGCAGATGCACAAAAATCCACAGTATAGTGAGTCAGTCACATGTTAGAAGGTGATATGTGAGCCAGGCATGCTGGAATGGGCCTGTAGTCCCAACTACTTAGGAGGCTGGGGCAGGAGGATCGCTTGAGGGTTGCAGTGAGCTAAAATACTGTCTTGGATGGGAACAGGTGGGAGTCAGGGTTTGTTTACACATTAGTGAGAACTTTAGTGAGTTATTGTCAGAAGCAGGCAATGCCCCATCCCTAGAGATAGTTAATCAGGGAGCAGCTGACTATCACCAGGAGGCTGTGGAAGGAACAGGATATGAGTGAGGGCCTGTCCAGGTCTGAGTGCCAGGGACTGAAGCAACATGAACTAATAAAGACCATAGTTAAAAGGGACATTATTCACATTTTATTAAACCAAATATTAGAGAATTGCTGTCATTTAAAGATAGCTGCAAGCAATTTGACATATCAATAAAGAAATGTCTGCAAATTCAAGTCTCAAAGAGAATAAGGTAAGTGATGAGTACTCTGAAAGACATGGAAACCAAGGAAGCCTCATTCCTGTGCTGAGAATATTCTAGTCACTCCTGCTACTGCCACATGGCAGCTGGGAATACCAGTAGTCTTGGCACTCTGTCAGCATAGTTCCCTTGGGAATGCTGATAAAAATGATACAGCGCTGGCCAGGCGTGGTAGCTCACGCCTGTAATTCTAGCACTTTGGGAGGCCGAGGTGGGTGGATCACCTGAGGTCAGGAGTTCAAAACCAGCCTGGCCATCATGGTGAAATCCCATCTTTTAAAAAAAAAAAAAAAAATTAAAGAAATGATCTAGCACTATAGTTTTTAAGGCAAGCTAATAATCTTTGGCTCCTTTGAGCCTCACAACACTGGTAGTCAGTGCCATTATCCCTATTTTAGAGATGACAGAGAAGTAAAATGTGACTAGTCCTGGTCACACAGTTGATAAGGGACTAAAACTGCAGCTTTCTGGCTAGCATGGGCCTTGATATGGCCAGTTTGTGACCTTTATAGCCTAGCTCTGTCTGTGCTACATGAATCCCAAACTTAAGTTCCCCTCTGGGCATAAGGCCTCATCTCAGACCCTAGGGAAGGCAATCCAAAGGTAGACTCAAATCTTGCAGACTAACCAGGCCAAAGGAAAGCCTCATGGGCAGTAGCTCCATGACAGGGTCCAGAGCACCAGGCAATGGCCAGAGACCAGCTGCATTCACCCTGAGCAGTAGGGCCTTGTGGTGGCCATGAGCTCAAACCTGGAACTCACAGCCTGGACCCAGACCCCAGCTCCACCACTAGCTGTGTGACCCTTGGGCAAGTGACTCTGGGTCTCCATTTTGCCATGTGTAGAATTGGGATAACTCTACTCCCTAGGGATAATGAAAGGATCACATGAGTTTCGTTGTAAAGCGTTAGAAGAGTGCCTTACAAACTAGTAAGAGCTGTTATTACTTGGCCCCTGCAGCTGTGGGTCTGGGAAGTGGTCTTGGTCATCAGGGATGAACAGAGATGTGGGGGTCAAGTGGATTCATTTTCCCTCTGTCAGGAATGTCCTCTGCCTGTCACAGTTCAGTTTTGGCCATTCTAGGATTAATTTCCCCTTTTCTCATTATTCCTGCAGCATAGTGCTTAAGACTGTCCAACCAGTGTTAAAGTCTTTGGTTAGAAGTCAAGGCATTTACGAGGTTTTGTCTGTCTGGTATTATTCTGCTACACTGCCCCATATCCAAGTGCCATTTTAAACTCAAAAACCGGATGGGCACGGTGGCTCACGCCTGTAATCCTAGCACTTTGGGAGGCCGAGGTGGGTGGATCACCTGAGGTCAGGAGTTGAAGACCAGCTTGGCCATCATGGTGAAACCCCATCTTTAAAAAAATAAATAAATAAAATAAAAAACCATTGAAAATTGTCCATTTTATATGGTTGAAACTAATTAATGCACTGAGAGTCTGTTTAAACTACAAGGATTCGGCTTTGCCTTCCTACCAAGCACCTACGAAGATGCTTTAACAGAATGTTAACTTCAAAACCATCTAGGGAATTGACAAAACAGGATGCAGAACCTTCAGAAGGGAGACACAGGCCCTGGGAAGAGGCCTCCCCCTCCCTGCTAGAGGAGCAGGCTTCCATGTGAGGGCCTACTGTTCTCTATTTCTGTCACTACATTCCAGACAGCTGGGCTCTCTGGGTTTCCTTGGCAACACCTGGATCTAAGGGCGCTCTTCCCCTTTCTGTCCCAAGACAATTGGGAAACACCACCCCCTTTGGTTGCTTAGCAACGGTCACCTGCTGATTCCTTTCCAGCATCTCCTGAGAAGAAGTAAAATCTCCCAGGTTGAAAGCTGGGCCAGGGGACAGGTCAGATGCTTGCCTGGGGGTGGGTGAATGGCACGCAGGCCTGGCCCCCCTACAGCACCACGGGGTAACTTTATGCAGTTCTGCTTTCTTTCAGGGCCTCAGACTCCCCAAACCTACAATGAGAACTGGCTGGGTGACCTGCGAGGTCCTCCCAGCTCAGCGGTTCTGTGACTCAGTGATAGGCACCTGCTCGTTATTATTCACTGCTTGGGAGGGAAGGGGGCTTTCTGAACTTTTCAGAGTGGAGAGAGTATACAACAAAGCTAACCTTCCAAAGCTTCCAATCTAGTTGAAAAGATAGGTACCAGGTGGCTCTGCTAGTGAGATTCTTGTGGTTTGGGGAGACTTCCTGGCGCAGATAAGCCTGGCGGACTTTTCCTGCATGAATGTGCTGGCAGTAGAGAGGTGTGGAGGTGAAGCTATGTGACACATTTCTGACTGGAGAGCCTCTAAGAAGAGCAGTAGGAGCTAGGTGAGGATAAGTAATTTTGAGCAGACTAGACAGGCCTTAAATGCTAAGGTGAGGCACTTGAATTTGTTTTTCCATGGAAACTCCTGGAAGCCTCTTCATAGTTCTTACAAGTTAAGTGAAATTTTAGGAAGAGCACCCTGGTTTTAGGGTGGAAGATGAGGACTGGGAGAGGGTTCAGACCAGGAACTGCTAAGCAGCTCACAGTTGTTCTGGAGGAAGGTGTGATGTGGACAAGATGAAATAGGGGAGGAAGCGGTAGATCCAAGAGACCTCAAGGGACAGAAGAGTCAGTGCTGGATGACTCATTCATTCACAGATATTTACTGTGTGCCTACTATGTGCCAGGTTCCTGTGCTGTACGAGGGAGAAAGTTCCCACGTGGTGGATGATGTGTTCTGGATGCTGAGGGCTTACCTGTGGGTATGTCACTTTGAAGGAAGTGGACTAAAGTACAGTAAGTGGTGGTGGGGGTAGGGGTGGGGGTGCAGAAGTCTGATGAGAGGGCAGCAGCGGACTTGTTTAGGGCATTTTTCAAACTAGCCTAGGAGAGGAACCCTTCAAAGCACTGTGGGTGTGATTGGTTGGGGAGGGTTGGGGCAGGGAGAGGGCCCTGAGAAGTAGGCAGTAAGGGGACCAGCCACGCTGATCTAGGTACAGACCTGGAGACTGTCATGCTGGTCCTGGCCCCTAGGGCAGCCGCGGGATGTTGATGGCCCCCTCCCAGAGACGCAGGGCCGGGTAGAGCGGCTCCTGGAAGGTAGCGCGAAAGGTGTGCAGGTGGCTCATGCCACCCGTCACGTCGTAGAAGGCGAGGACGCCGGCCTCGTAGTCCAGGAAGACGCCGAGCCGGTCGAGATCGTCGCGGGGCCGCAGGCGGCTGCGCTGGCCGTCGTGGAAGGCCCAGTACTCAAGGTCGTAGCGCTTGAGGCACCAGGACTGGCGGTTGCAGCCCAGGCGAGCGGCGGCTGAGGCCCCGCGGCGCCGCAGGGAGGCGTAGGCCGCGCCCACCCACCAGCCGGCGCCAGCCTCCTGCACGTCCACTTCCCAGTAGTGGCGGCCAGCGGCGAAGCAGTCACGAGACAGCACCTGCCAGAGTGCGTCGAACCGCAGTGCGGGCACGGGCCCCAGGCTGCCCAGAAGGCCACAGCGCACAGTCAGGCGGTCTGCAGACAGGCGAAGGCGCGCGTGCATCGTGTCCGGATCCAGCGTGGGCGTGCGCGCGTCTGCAGGGGGCGGAACACAGGACGCGCCTGATGGGCAGGGCCAGCGCGGCGCCCCGTCCCCGGGAACCCACCCACGCACGTGCAAAGCACAAAATGCGAAGCTCGAAAATGGCCCAAGGAGGGAGTGAAAGACCTCTTTTAACCTCGATTGTCCCTGGATCGTGGGCTGGGGAAGCAGTAATCACTCTACTGCACACCCTTTATACTGTCTGAATTTTGTGCCGTGAAATTTGTTGCCAACTAATACAAATGTTAAAAATAATCCCATCACTGCCCAGAAGGTAACACACTAGGGTGTGTTACTTCCTATCTTCCCCCCCCCCCCCCGCCCCCCGGTTCTTTATAGCTTTAAGATTGGTGTCACACCATAGATGCCGTTAGCTAATCTGCTTTTTTTAAAAATTGAGCATTTTGCCACATCAAATAATAGTCTTTCACAAGAGCATTTTAGTGGAGATTCTATGATTTTGATGTTTGGACACACACATAACTTAGTCCTCTTTTTTTTTTTTTTGGAATAGTCTGTTTAAAAAGCTTTTGAAACCACCAATACAATTACATATCTTTTTTTTGAGACAGAGTTTTGCTCATGTTGTCCAGGCTGGAGTGCAATGGCATGATCTTGGCTCACTGCAACTTCCACCTCCCAGGTTCAAACGATTCTCCTGCCTCAACCTCCCAAGTAGCTGGGATTACAGGTGTTAACCACCATGCCAAGCTATTTTTTGTATTTTTAGTAGACCCGGGGGGCAGGGCGGTTCACCATGTTGGCCAGGCTGGTCTCAAACTGCTGACCTCAGGTGATCCACCCTCCTCGGCTTCCAAAGAGCTGGGATTACAGGTGTGAGCCCCCATGCCTGCCCCTACTTAGCTCTTTAGAAATGCAATTATAACCATTCCCTTCCCTTCACCAGATAATCCCCTACAGGGCAAGTTTATCTAAGTGCCTACTTAGAAGGAACCAGAACTTTCTCCCACCAGGAGAAAAGAGACAACAGTCAGTTTACCAGCTTAAGTATGCCTGCGTCAGAACTCTTACACCTGGAGAATATCTCAACACAATGGCCACATTACAACCTAGTTCTGCCATCAATGGCACCAGCTCACCCACCTGGTAGATGAGGCACCAAAACGAGTCAAATAGACCCCCATCTGCTTGCTCCTCCCTTGCATGCCCTTTATACAAAGTCACCATTTAGAAGCCTGTTTTCTGCCCCAAAAGTGAGGTAGTACCCTTAGGGCAGGAGGAGCCTATACCTCTTCCCCTAAGCTAAGCTTTGGAAAAAGACCACTTTTTAAAAAAAAAATTATTTAATTTTTTTAAAGACGGGGTTTCACCATGTTTGTCAGGCTGGTCTTGAACTCCCGACCTCAGATGATCCGACCGCCTTGGCCTCCAAAGTGCTTGGATTACAGGTGTGAGCCACCATGCCCAGCCTAAGACCACTTTCTTTATGCCAGACCTCGCTCTTGTTATCTGGACTCTGCAAAGCGTTGAGCGATTGAACCTGCGTTTCAGTCACATAACATTCTTGTGCTTTTGATTCACATATAGTATGCATTTCTGTCGGATATTTATCCGAGGTGGGAGAAAATGCTGCTCATTATAACCACTTCTATTCAACACTGTTTAGATGTAGTAGACAGTAATTCAAGGCATGAAAAAGAAGTGAAAGGCAAGAATAAGGATTGGGGAAATGAAAGATTATTATTCACAGGTGACATGCTGATTTACAGAAAATCCCAAAAAATCTGTGGATAGCTTAGAAGTGCTAAGTGAATTTTCAACAACCACTCAGGCCAGGCGCGGTGGCTCACACCTGTAATCCCAGCAATTTGGGAGGCGGATCACAAGGTCAAGAGATCGAGACCATCCTGGCCAATATGGTGAAACCCTGTCTCTATTAAAAATACAAAAATTAGCTGGGCGTGGTGGCACACGCCTGTAGCCCCAGCTACTTAGGAGGCTGAGGCAGGAGAATGCTTGAACATGGGAGGTGGAGGTTGCAGTGAGCCAAGATTGTGCCACTGCACTCCAGCCCAGCAACAGAGCAAGACTCTGTCTCCAAAAAAAAAAAAAAAAAAAAAAAAAAAAAACCACCACTCAATATGTCAGTATACAAAATGGATAAATCTCATAAATAATATGTTGAGCAAAAGAAGCAAAACAGAAGGGTACAATCTGAATGACCTACTAAAAGTTCAAAAACAGGTAAAACTAACCTGTAGTCCTGGAAGTCTGGAAAGTGGATTCCCTTTGGGGATAGTAAACAAGAGAGCACATAAGGAAGACTTCTGGGGAGTGAAAATTTCCATTTCTTGATCTGAAGGTCATTACAAAATATATTTCTTTTTTAAAAAAATCATTGAGCTGCAGACTTTTGATTTGTGCTTTTTTTTTTTTTTGAGACTGAGTCTCACTCTGTCACCCAGGCTAGAGGGCCATGGCGCAATCTCGGCCCACTGCAACCTTGGCCTCCCTGGTTCAAGCAATTCTCCTGCCTCAGCCTCCCAAGTAGCTGGGACTACAGGACATGCTGCCACACCCTGCTATTTTTTTGTATTTCTCAGTAGAGACACGGTTTCACAGTGTTGCCAAAGCTGGTCTGGAACTCCTAAGCTCAGGCAATCTGCCTGCCTTGGCCTCCCAAAGTGCTAGGATTATAGGCATGAGTCACTGCGTCCGGCCTTGTGTACTTTTCCTAATGCATTTTATATTTCAACTAAAGTTTACTTTAAAAATGCATGCCAGGCCCGGTGGCTCATACCTGTAATCCCAGCACTTTGGGAGGCCAAGGCAGGTGTATCACCTGAGGTCAGGAGTTCAAGACCAGCCTGGCCAACATGGTGAAATCCTGTCTCTACTAAAAACACACACAAAAAATTAGCTGGGTGTGGTGCTGGGTGCCTGTAATCTCAGCTACTTGGGAGGCTGAGGCAGGAGAATCACTCGAACCCAGGAGGTGGAGGTTGCAATGAGCCGAGATTGCACCATTGTGCTCCAGCCTGGGTGACACAGCCAGACTCCATCTCAAAAAAAAAAAAGTAATTTCATGTCCAGTGTAAAAAGAAAATAAAATTTCAAGACTTTCCAAATTTATTATGCCAAGTGGAAAAAGTTAAGCCCTGGAAACTGAGTCACTTAATGTGGCATTTTTCTTCTCTGGTGCATGACCATTACCTCCTAACTTTTGTGTTGAGATGTTATACATTAACCAGATTCCCTATTCTTCATATAAACCTATACTAAATGACTGGAGATAGACTCTTTAGATTGTTAACTATTTTCACTAGGATGTTTACTCCTTAGGTGTAATCGATAGTAGCCAATCCAATCTTAAATCAGTATTTCTTTCTTTTTTTTTTTTTTTTTTGCAACGGAGTCTCACTCTGTCACCCAGGCTGGAGTGCAGTGTCACGACCTCGGTTCACTGCAACCTCCACCTCCCAGGTTCAAGTGATTCTCCTGCGTCAGCCTCCTGAGTAGCTGGGACTACAGGCGCCTGCCACCATGCCAGGCTAATTTTTGTATTTTTAGTAGATGCAGGGTTTCACCATGTTGGCCAGGCTGGTCTTGAACTCCTGACATCAGTCAAGTGATCTGACTGCCTTGGCCTCCCAAAGTGTTGGGATTACAGGCGTCAGCCACCATGCCCAGCCTTTATATCAGTAGGTTAGCCTTTGAATGGAAAATGTAATTCTATTCAGTGCCTCCATTTTGATATTCACTGCCCGCTTCCCAACACCAGGAGCACTGACCACCATTCTTTGGTTTGCCTATGTCCCCTTATGGTTACTTTGCACTGGAATAAACTCTGTTAACTGAATACTGAGCCTACTTTAGGTTGAGTCTTCTTTAAATTGATACCCAGTAATTAAACTTTGAGTAATTACTCCTAAAAAATAATCTGAAAATGAGGTATGGTGTGTTCATTCACTCATTCAATTCAACAAATGTGTACAAGAATGGATGCTTATTACAGCATTGTTTATAGAAATGAAAAGGTAAACATCCAACATTATGAGATTGGTTAAATATGACACATCCATTCAATGCAATACCATGCAACCTCTAAAAATAATAAAAATTAAAAGTTAGCTAAGCGTGGTGGCCATGCCAATAGTCCCAGCTATGTGGAGGTTGGGGTGGGAAAATCACTTGAGACCAAGAGGTCGAGGCTGCAGTGAGCACTGCACCACTGCACTCCACCACTGCAATCCAGAGCAAGACACACACACACACAATATTGGTGGGCACAGTGGCTCATGCCTGTAATCCCAAAATTTGGGAGGCTGAGGTGGGAGGATCACTTGAATCCAGGAGTTCGAGACCAGCCTGGGCAACATGGGAGACCTCCATCTCTACAAAAACTTTCAAAGTTAGCCAGGCTTGGTGGCAAACATCTATGTTCCTAGCAATGTGGGAGGCTGAGGTGGAAGGGTCACTTGAGCCCAGGAGGTCGAGGCTGCAGTAAGCCATAGTTGTGTCACTGCACTCCAGCCTGGACAACAGAGTGAGACCCTGCCTCAAAAAAAGTTATATATTTACTGATATAGAAAATTGTCACATCAGTGTTCGGTGGGAAATTAAAATATTGTTCAAGCTATACTGTTAATGAAAAGAATTACAAAGAATATAATATCCCTTTAAAAATATGCACACATATCTGAAAGAATATATATTAAAATATTAATAGTATCCCTTGGGAGGGACCATGGATTTTACACTTTCGTAACTTCTGACTTTCTACGATAAGCATGCATTATCTGTTGTTGTTTTTTTCCAATTGAGACAAGGTCTCACTCTGTCACCCAGGCTAGAGTACAGTAGCATGAACACAGCTCACAGCAACCCCCATCTCCAGGGCTCAAGTGATCCTCCCACCTCAGCCTCCTGAGTAGCTGGAACTACAGGAGCATACCACCATGCCCACTAATTTTTGTATTTTTTGTAGAGATGGAGTTTTGTCATGTTGCCCAGGCTGGTCTCAAACTCCTGGGCTCAAGCTGTCTGCCTGACTCGGCCTCCCAAAGTGCTGGGATCACAGGTGTGAGCTACCAGGACTGGCCCTACATATACAATATTTTAAGAGAATAAAAATGTTCATAATATATCAGCAAATGAAAACAGATGAGAAAATAGTTTATGTATAGTATGACATCACATTTGTAAAATAAAAAGATATATTAAATATATCATTATATGCATATTAGATGTGCTAAAGCAAGCTAAAAGGACAAATAGTTCACAGAAGAGGGAAGATTATGAGACTTTTTTTCTTTTCTTTTCTAATTTTTCTACAGTGAACATGTGTTGTTTTACTTGTCTTTAGTAATAAAAGTTTTTTTTTAATTCTTAAAAATAATAATTTTAAAAAACCAAATTCTAATGAGAAAAAAAGAAGGACCTCCATTTCCGTGATCCTCCTCCACCCAACATCCCACTGTCTCCGCCCTCTCCACCCTGTCCCCGCTCCGGGGTCTTACATTTTAGGAAGAGGGATCGCTCTGGTGATGGGCTGGTTTTCAACAAGGTACCTGGCTTGGTGCTGGAAGGGCCTGAGAGCTGGCAGTTCATGTCTGTAAGGAATTGTGAGAAATGAGCACCTGGAGCTCACGCAAGCAGACAAATAAGACATGCTAAAAACACACAACTGGAGAGTCGCAGTAGCTCATAGATTGAGGGGTTCATGTAAATTCACAGGGACAGGAAAACCCCAGGATGACAAGACTGGTGTGGGAGAGCCCTAAATAGGAGGAGGAGCTGAGGAGCGAACAACCACTGAACCCACCACTCAAGGATGGGCCACGACTCAGGGAAGATCCGCAAATTCCACGGTAAAGATGGAAAACAAGGAAGTAGAGCTGAGTCAGGAAGGTCTGAGTGCTCACAAATAAGGAAGGAGGGGAGGCCATCCCAGCAAGTGGGCACAGCAGGGGCACCAGGGCCCTTGGCACTTGCTGTGCCCTCTGCCTGGACAGCCCCCACACCATTCCCCTCTTGCCCAGGTTGCCTCCTTCCCAGCTGTTGGGGCTGGAGCTTACTCAGCACCTCCCCAGACCTGCCTTCCGCCCCTATCACTCCCAGCACTCATCACGGGGGCCTGTAGAGATCAAGCCCGTCCGCACACTGTTAAATCTAGTTTTCCTAAAGCCGCCTCCTTACATCTTTGAAGTTCGGCCTAAAGGTTTTTCTGCGCATCGTGAACTATAACAAGTGGAGGTGTAAACAGACCGCAGCCTGCACTTGTGCCAATCACCTGGTTTTTTTTTTTAATTTTTTTTTTTTTCTTACTAGAATAGTTACTCTGGATATGGAAATCACCCAGTTTTGGCCAATCAAATGTAGCCAACTGTTCAAACTGTGTTCAAATAAGGCAAATGCTGAGCTGGAACCAACCCAGCTGCTTCTGTGCCTCACTTCTGCTTTCTGTATGCCAGTTTCCTTTTTCTGTCCCTAAATCTTCTTCCACCACGTGGCTGCACTAGAGTCTGTGAACGTACTGAGGCTGAGAAGGCTGCCCGATTCACAAATCGTTCATTGTTCATTTAAACTCCTTTATCTTTAATTTGGCTGAAGTTGTTCGTTCATCAAGGCAAAAGCCTCGCCCCTCTCCCTAGAACTCTACAGTCATAGGTCCTACTGCCTGGGCGATACCACCACATGGGAAGTCTAACTTCTCAAATCTAACAAGTTCAAACACTTCATTCCCTCCAGTCCTAAATGCTCTTTCTCACTTCAGAAAATGACAGTTTCCTTCTGTTAGTTGCCCAGGTCAAAATCCTGGGATTCAGATTTCTTTCCTGCGACCCCACTTCCACTTCTGTTGTCCCCATTGCTGCTCCCTCTATGTGGCCAGCTCACTCCCATCGTGCCTCAGGGCCTCCACCCTTGCTTTTCCCTCTGTCTAGAATACCTCCCCCAGCTGTAGCAGCAGCAGCAGCAATCGTACTCACCAAGGCGTACATGGCGCTTATTATGCCTGAGTGCTATGTGTGTAAGAGCTCATTCAATTCTCAAAGCAGCCCGGGAGAGGGGGCTGCATTATGGTCTCCACTTTACAGATACAGAAACAGAGGCATGGAAAAGGGAGGTGCCCTGTCCATGGCAGGGTTCGGCAGGGTTCCAAGGTGGTAGACCTGGGGTAGGAACCCAGGAGACCTGGATACAGAGGCTGTGCCTATGACCACTGTGCTCTCTGGCCCTTCAGACCAGCAGAACCTGCAGAACGAACGCTTCCTTTGGGCCACCTTGAATGTCCCCTTCTCGGAGGCCTTCCCAACTGCTTATATAAAACAGCTCCTCTGCCAGCTGTGGTGGCTCACACCTGTAATCCCAGCACTTTGGGATGCAGAGGCAGGCAGATCACAAGGTCAGGAGTTCAAGATTAACCTGGCCAACATGGTGAAACTCCGTCTCTACTAAAAATACAAAAATTAGTCTGGCATGGTGGTAGGCACCTGTTGTCCCAGCTACTCAGGACACTGAGGCAGGAGAATTTCTTGAACCCGGGAGGCGGAGGTTGCAGTCAGCTGAGATCATGCCACTGCACTCCAGGCTGGGCAACAGACCAAGACTCCATCTCAAAAAAAAAAAAAGAAAAACGGTTCCTCCTCCTTGTCACTTTCTTGTCCTCCATTTCGCCCTGCTTTATTATTCTTTATAGCAGTTCTTGTCACCAGACATGTTTGTGCACTGTCTCCGCCTACAAGGACTATGAGCACCAAAAGAGAAGGAGCTTTGTTTTGTGCCCTCCTATGCCTGGCACATAAGAAGGGCTTGATAAATATTCTGAATGAATCATGATAGCAGAGGTGAATGAATGAATGAATGATTGAGCACATAAATGAATCAATGAATAGATATTTTTGAGTACATGTTTTGTGCTAGGCCCTGTGGGGAGCTCAGAGGTAGACCCAAAGCTGGTTCCTGCCCTTCAGGTGCTTACAAGGAAGGAGCAAGGAGGGGTATCCACTTCATGAGCACTTTCCAGCAGGATGTGCAGGCCCTGGTGCGAGAAGGGAGAGGGGAGATGGCCAGGGGAGGAGTGAGCCAGGGCTGGGCTGGCGGAAAGGGCTTTCCAGGTGGGCACAGCTGTGCCAGCCTGCCTTGAAGGGGTGCTGGACCTGGGCCCCAGCCAGAGGAAGAGGAGGAGGAAGAGTTGGTCATTCCAGCTGGGAGCCCAGAGCAAGGCTGAGATATGGCAGGATCCCAGGAGTGATCTGAGGGGCAGAAGCAGGGCAGTGTGTCTGGAGAAGGGCAGGTCTCCATCTCAGGAAGGGTTGGAAGTGAAGTCGTGAGGGTGGGTTGGGCACCAGGCCCAGGAGCCCCTGACCACCCAACCAAGGGCCTCAGCATGGGAGAGACAGGATGTAGGGTGATGATCTTTGCATTCACCTCGGAGCTAAAGGGCACTAGGGGAGTTAAGGACACAAAGTTGGTCACCTGGCAACTTACTTTTCTTAAGGCGAATGTCCAGTGTCGTCTGTAGTGTACTCTGCATGGCTTCCACAAGACCTTTATAGTAGCTCCTGATGGGCTCAAAGGAGACGGGCACAGGGTGGCACAACTCCCCGAGGCTCATCTGCTGCTGCATCTCCTGCTCAGCTGCTGTGTATGCCTGTGTGGGCACACAGGGGTCAGGGTGGCTCTGGGAGATGCAGGCAGTGTCCCAGCCTCCCGTGCTGCACCCAGGAACAAACCCACACCAGCATGCCCAGGCTCCACCTTGCCCTGGCACCTGTGGTCAGCCCGGGCTGTGCCTCCAGGAGCAGAGAGAGCCCACACAGCAGCCCCGAGGTGGGAGCCAAGTGGAGGTATGATTTTTCAGTGCTGGCACTGAGGATTCCTCCCTCTCCCTTCCTCCCTCCTTTCCTTCCTTCCTTCTGTGTTCATTGAGGCCTACTCTGTGCCAGCTATGAGGGCAGAGGGCAGGGTCAGGCTGACACAGGGGCCCTTCCCAGTGAGGCTTCAGCCTCACACACACTGTGCCATGGTCTGCATCAGGTACAAAAAGAGTGAGAGGTCAGTCTCCTTGGGAAAGGAGCCCCTGGAACTTGTACAAAGGTGGAGCAGGAAACTGTGTTCTAAGAAGGATGTCAAAGACCCAGCAAGAGGCCAGGCATGGTGGCTCATGCTTGTAATCCCAGCACTTTGGGAGGCCGAGACAGGTGGATCACCTGAAGTCAGGAGTTCGAGACCAGCCTGACCAACTCAGTGAAACCCAATCTCTAAAAAAAAGAAAAAAGACCCAGCAAGGTTCAGCTGCAGTGCTGACTGAGGGGGTGTGGCCACTGCAGGGAACATGTGTTCTGTTTTGCACCTGGACAGCCCCTCTTCAATACCTTTCTGTGTTGTGTGGCTTCACTAAGGAGAAGCTAGAAAACCCCGTCTCCCAGCCCCCTTTGCACCCTTGGTGCAGGAGTGTCACCAGACACCTCCAAGCCAAAGCATGGATTTGGAAGTGAAGGTGAGGGTAGCGATGGTGGCAATGTGATGCTCAGGGCAGCAGTGGTGGGGGCTCTGGTCAGTGGTGAGAGTGGTGATGTCTTTTCCAGCAGAGGCGCCGTGGGGCCTATACTGGCACCAACCCCTGCTGGAGCCTGGACTTCCTTCCTGCTGCCCATGTGCTATCCTGACTCTCTGGCCCTCCTGGAGATCCTACCAACTACCTCATATTCTTCCGTAAACTCCTTTCTTGCTTAAAACAGTTCCAGTGGATTCTCCTGTTTGCAGGTAAGAACTGTGATGGCACTTTCTGAAGGGCTGTCCTGGCCAGGAGTTGGGAGGAAGCTGACTGCCCCCAGTGATCAGGCTTGGCTGGCAGTGGTAGTGCTGCCTGCCCAAGAAGGGGTGGACAGATGGGGGCCTCAGGAGGGAGGAGGGTGGCCTGGCACTTGGCTGTGGGGCCGGGGCAGGCCCTACCTGGCAGCATGCCGTACATTAGGAGGGGGCTGTGAGATGGCCTCCAAGCCCCATTCGGCCTAGGAGGCCAGGAGTCTAGAGTCCAACCTCATTTTGGTGGGGAACCAGGGCTAAGGTCACACCCAGAGCACTGGAATGGAGTTGGCCAGGGAAGACTGAGCACTAGCAGGAAGTCCAGGGTGGGCAGGGAGCAGCTCCAGGGAGGCGAGAGGGGGCTCAGAGGGCAGATGAGTAGGGTAGGATGAGGGGTCGATAGAGGACACATGTCACCACCTGATAACCCCAAACTCCAGCAACTAGCACCAGGCCGGACACATGGGTTCTCAAAACATATGTATGATGGAAAAATCAGTGCATGAAACCAAGGATAGCTGCTTTTGCCTTTGCAGACTCAGAGAACAGAAAACCCAGTCCCTCATCTCTCAGGCCAGAAACTCCGGCGTCATCTCGGGATTCCCCCTACTCATTCTCCAATTCCAATCTCCATTCTTGTGGCATCTCCTGACCTGCCTGTTTCTCCCTATCCCCACTGCCCCTATCTTGGTCCAGGCCACCATCATCTCTCTCCTGGACATTGTGGCCTCCTCCCAAGTTCCCTTCCAGCCTCCTATCCTGGTCTCCCCTGTCCATCTTCCACTGTCTCTAAAGTGACTTTTCTAAAGCACTAACCTGACCATGTGACTGCTTTCATCCCTCAGTTCAAACCACTCCTGTGCTGGGCATGGTGGTTCATGCCTGTAATCCCAGCACTTCAGGAGGCCAAGGCGGGTGGATAACTTGAGGTCAAGAGTTTGAGACCAGCCTGGCCAATAGGGTGAAAACCCGCCTCTAGTAAAAATACAAAAATTAGCTGGGCATGGTGGCACGTGCCTGTAGTCCCAGCTCTTCAAGGGGCTGAGGCAGGAGAATCCCTTGAATTTGGAAGGCAAAGTTGCAGTGAACTGAGATTAAGTCACTGCATTCCAGCCTGGGCAACAGGTGAGACGCTGTCTCGAAAACAAACAGACAAACAAACAAAAAACATTCCTGTCTCCTATTGTATTACAGGCAAATGCTAAAATCCATGAAACATAAGGCCCTTCATGAACTAACCATGACCTATTGATCCAGCTGTGTCTCTCAATACCCCCACCCTTATACCCCCTACCCCTCCTCAAGCCAGGTTGAACCCCTAGTGGTTCCCCAGCCTGCCAAGCTCTCACATGTACACAGTTCCTGTCTGTCCTCTCTGCTCTCTCTATATATGCAGTGTGCTCCTACTCATTTCCCAACACCCAGCCCTACCATCACCTCTTCCTAGAAGTCTTCCCAGACTGTATCCTTCTCGCAGCCAGAGAGTGTCAGACATTTCTTGGACATAATTTTGCTAGCTTCACATTTACAAAACTGCTTAAGCTGTACTGTAAATAACTATTTCTGAGCAAGTCTCCCCACAAACCGTGAGCTCCTAATGTCCAGCAAGTGACCTGGCTCAGTACGTATTGATGAATAAACGAATGAACACATAGAAGGTGGGAATGCTGAATGATTAAAATCAATAGCTTTGGCACAAGAGAATATATATATATATATATATTTTTTTTTTTTTTTTTTTTTTTTTTTTGAGACAGAGTCTCGCTCTGTCGCCAGGCTGGAATGCAGTGGTGCTTTCTTGGCTCACTGCAACCTCTGCCTCTGGGGCTCGAGCAATTCTCCTGCCTCAGCCTCTGCAGTAGCCGGGACTATAGGCATGTAGTCCATGCCCACCACCATGCCCAGCTAATTTTTGTATTTTTAGTAGAGATGGGGTTTTACCATGTTGGCCAAAGGATGGTCTCAATCTCTTGACCTCGTGATCCACCCACCTCAGCCTCCCAAAGTGCTGGGATTACAGGCGTGAGCCACCACACTTGGCTGGCACAAGAGAATTTAAGAAAAAGAGCTGGCAAAGCCCTGAAGCCACTTTATGAGGGAGAATAGCATGCTTCTCCATGGAAGCATTCCTTCGTATTCCATAGCCTTAAAAAGGACCGTTATTTAAAAAGAAACAATCCAATGTATCACTCTGTGCATCTTGCCCTTCTTAAAGCGCAATACCCATTCCTAGCAAAGCACCTCACCCAGAATTTGACTGAAACAGCTGACGATGAGACACAGGCTGAACTGACTGAGGCCACGTAAGACACAAGAGTGGAAATCCCCACCTGGGGACTGGCTTGGCTGGTTTTGTGCTGACTGGCTTTTTTGTCTGTCTTATTTTCCAGCCAGAGCCTATACTCATCTGTGGTTAGAGTTGGTGCCACTTTTAGTTGTGCCCTGCCTTGTCCCACAGCCTTTAAAGTATCTTGCAAAGTTCCTCTAATACGGCAAGATTTTTCTTCATAGTGCAAAAAATGAAGCAAAGAGAAAATCAGACACAAAGTGTTTGCCGTGAAGCCTTAGCCTGGTTAGTCAAAGCAGATTTGGCTCTGAGCGTCCCAAGGCAAAGAAGGAAACAGGAGCAGCTCTATCAGTGATAAAGCAATTATAGTGCGGACGCGACTGCACAGGGGTATTGACACCAGACAAGAGCTTCTTCCACAGTTCCCTAAAAACAGGAACACCATCCTTGACAACATGCTTTCCCCAAATGTAGCAATGAGTATCGCAGGGGCTATTTTTTTTTTGTTTTTTTGTTTTTTTGTTTTTTTTTTGAGAGAGTCTTGCTCTGTCACCCAGGTTGGAGTACAGGGGTGCAATCTTAGCTCACTGCAAACCTTTGCCTCCCAGATTCAAGTGATTCTCCTGCCTCAGCCTCACAGGTATGTGCCACCACGTCTGGCTAATTTTTGCATTTTTAGTAGAGAGGGGGTTTCGCCATGCTGGCCAGGCTGGTCTCAAACTTCTGGCCTCAAGTGATCTGCCACAGGGGCTGTTTCTTAAACTCTTCCTCAACAAAGCCCAGTGGCCAAGGAATACCATTGAGTGAACTGTGACTCAGCTTTTGAAATGTTCTCACTAGCTGCAAGGACACCTGCCTTTTCAGGAGGGGTGTCTCAATTTAAGACTATACAGGCAGAGGGCCAGGCAAGGTGTCTTGTGGGTTTAGAGTCAAACCTAGACAGACAGACAGACAGACAGACAGACCTGATATCAGCTCTGCCACCTACCAGCTGTGTAAGACCAGGTGAGTCACTTCACTTTACTAAGCCTCAATTTCTTGTTTATAAAATGGGGCGAGGCCACTCTGCAGAGTTCTAGTGAATATTCGTGCTAAGCTACACAGTGCTCAAAACACAGAGGCCTTTGAAATTGGTGGCTGTTAATATTATTTAATTAGCCCAAGATGTGTATTATCTTCCTAACAATGTATATTCTCTTGAACACTTGTTTGGGGGCAAGACAGTCTGCATGGTGACCAGGCAACATTTTGTGTTAATACAGTGCTCAGTGCCACAGCACCTGAGATGAAGTGTGGATGGCAGGTGGCAGCTGTAAGAGCAGTGACCCCAGCATTACCTGAAGCCTCTGGACAGGATCGGGCTCCTGGCCAATACTCCAGACCCTGTTGGAGAGATCGTTTGTGATGTCAAGTTGCTCTTTGCAAGAGTCAGCTTGTTCCCTGTACACCTGGAGGGCAAGCTGTGTGTTTTTATCAATGAATTTCTTGGCCACTGCTTCCTCTTCATCAAGTAGTAATCTGAGTTCAGTGAATATCCCCTTCAGCCAGGTTTTACTTGACTCTGCATGAGCCTAAAAACAGAAAAACCAGTTGCAGATGATATGTTTATCGATCGGGAAACCCAGAATAATCAACATGAAAATAATTAGAATGTCTGAAACATAAATTCAGCAAAGTGGCCAGTCAGATACAAGATCAACCTATAAAAAACAAAGCTTTCCTAAGCACCAGATATCACCAATCATAAAATGCATGGAGAAATAAAGATTCTTTTGAAAATGGGAGAAAAAAATAGCAAAATATGTGGAAATAAGCCTAATAAAAAACCATATTAGTGACTGGGAAGCTTCATTACTATAAAGTCACTATTTGTCTCTAAATTAGAATTTGATAAAATTAGACAAATTAGAATTTGATAAAATTCCAATCAAAATTTTAACATGCAGATTAAAAATTATAAAATTATCAGGAGAGAGAATAAGCATAAGAAAAGCCAAAATTGCTTTAAAAAAATCAATGAAGAAAAACCTGATAACACGTTATCTGCCTTATCTGATGACAAAACAAATGATAAATCTACAGGATCTAAAAAAACCATGTGGCTCAAACACAGATTAAAAAGGTCAAAAGCACAAAATAAAGAGTTTTTAAAAGAACTCAAATTATGGCCAGGCATGGTGGCTCATGCCTGTAATCCCAGCACTATGGGAGGCAGCAGGTGGATCGCCTGAGGTCAGGAATTCGAGACCAGCCTGGCCAACATGGTGAAACACAGTCTCTGTTAAAAACACAAAAATTAGCTGGGTGTGGTGGCAGGTGCCTATAATCCCAGCTACTCGAAAGGCTGAGGCAGGAGAATCCTGTGAACTCGGGAGGCAGAGGTTGCAGTGATCTGAGATGGCGCCATTGTACTCCAGCCCAGCCTAGGCAATAAGAGCAAACTTCTGTCTCAAAAAGAGAACGACCTTAAGGCCGGGCGCGGTGGCTCAAGCCTGTAATCCCAGCACTTTGGGAGGCCGAGGCGGGTGGATCACGAGGTCAACAGATCAAGACCATCCTGGTCAACATGGTGAAACCCCGTCTCTACTAAAAATAGCTGGGCACGGTGGCACGTGCCTGTAATCCCAGCTACTCAGGAGGCTGAGGCAGGAGAATTGCCTGAACCCAGGAGGCGGAGGTTGCAGTGAGCCGAGATCGCGGCATTGCACTCCAGCCTGGGTAACAAGAGTGAAACTCCGTCTCAAAAAAAAAAACACAAACCTTAAAAAAAAGAAAAGAAAAAGGCCAGGTGTGGTGGCTCATGCCTGTAATCCAAGCAATTTGGAGGCCAAGGTGGGTGGATCACCTGAGGTTGAGAATTCAAGACCAGCCTGACCAACATGGCAAAACCCTGTCTTAAAAAAAAAAAAGGAAAGAAAAAGAACGACACCAAAAAAAGAACTCAAATTATATATAGAGAGATGTGTGTATGTATCTGCATCTGTGATGTAACAGTGGCATTTTAGAATAAATTTTTGTATTTTTGTACTAAAAATATGAAAATAAAAATAATTAAAATAATTTGAGAGTTTCCACAATAAAAGGTTAAGGAAAACAAACAAAAGAGAAAGTCCAGTTAAACTAAAGCACTGTACATAAGGTCCAAAGAATAAATCAATTAAATGAAATACAGAACAATTTTTATTTATTTATTTTTTTGATAGAGAGTTTCGCTTTTGTCCAGGCTGGAATGCAGTGGTATGATCTTGGCTCACTGCAACCTATGCCTCCCGGGTCCAAGTGATTCTCCTGCCTCAGCCTCCCGAGTAGCTGGGATTACAGGTGTGAACCACCACGCCCAGCCCAGAAAATAGTTTTTGATCATTAGATTGGAAGATTTTTAAGAGACTGAGATGCAGTCTGTAAGGGTATATGAAATAGGGCATTTACATAAACTGCGCGTGGTAGGGTCTATTGGTACTTCATTTTTAGGGGGCAATATGACAATAGCTATCAATTTTTTTTTTTTTTTTTTGAGAATAAGTTTTGCTCTTGTCCCAGGCTGGAGTGCAATGGCAAGATCTCAGCTTACTGCAACCTCGGCCTCCCGGGTACAAGTGATTCTCCTACCTCAACCTCTGGAGTAGCTGGGACTGCAGGTGGGTATCACCACACCTCGCTAATTTTGCATTTTTAGGAGAAACAGAGATTCACTGTTGGCCAGACTGGTCTTGAACTCCTGACCTCAGATGATCCTCCCGCCTCAGCCTGCCAAAGTGTTGGAATTTCAGGCGTGAGCCACTCCGCCTCAAAGTTTTAAATGCACATATTCTTTCATGCAGCAGTTCCTCTTACTTTACTAAGATCCTGGAATGTGCTTTCATATGTGCATGAAGATGTGTGTACCAAGATTCTCAGTACATAGCTTTTACACATACAGACTAGAGAATAGAATTAGCAGGGGATGGTGGTTGGTGTCTGTAATCCCAGCTACTTGGGAGGCTGAGGCTTGAGAATCACTTAAGCCCAGGAGACAAAAGTTGCAGTGAGCTGAGATCAGGCCACTGCACTCCAGCATGGGCGACAGAGTGAGACTCAGACTTGAAAAAAAAAAAGTATAGAGAATAGTTGTGGAACCGCAAGAAGTTAAAAGAAAACTGAAAAATGGGCTTCACTGGCAGAAACAGAAACAAGGGTAGTGGGGAGCGAATGTTCTGAGAAACAAGGTCAACCACAAACAGCTCACTAGCACTCATGCATCCGGTTACAGGCGTGCTCAGCCCACAGTCCACCTGCACCCAGGCATCCTGTCTGCAAGTATTCACCTCAAGCAGCAAACCTTTGAAAACTCCCCCTCCAGCCCCCTGCCTTCTTTCTGCCGCCTCATCTGCTGCTCCCTTGCAATGCGTCTCTCCCTTTTCTCTAAATAAATCTGCCTTTCTAAACTCAATACTGTCTTGGTAAATTATTTTATCCCCCCTGTGCACCAGTGTCAGACAGTTGTTAACCATGAAATATTTGGTACAATTTTCAATATGGGACATGTATATAATTATATAGATTGTGCTACATTCATACAATGAAATAATGTATAGCAATTACCAAGAATGCATTCTGCTGATGCGTGCTAAAACATGGATGAACATTGAAGACATCACCCCTAGTGAAATAAGCAAGATACAAAAGGACAAATGATTTATCATTCTGCTCATATGAAATATCTAGACCAGGCAAATTCATAGAGACAGAAAGTAGAATCGAGACTACCAAGGGCTGGGAGAGGGGAAATGGGGTGTAATTGCTTGATGGTTTCAGAGTTTCTGGTTGGGATAAGGAAAAAGTTTTGGAAATAGACACAGGGGACGGCTGTGCAACATTGTGAATATAATTCAAACCACTTAATTGAATACTTAAAAATGGTTAGAATGGCAAATTTTATGTTATATATATTTTATCACCATATAAAAACAAAGAAGAAAATATAACAACAAAAACAACGCAGAAGGTCAGGCGTGGTGATTCATGCCTGTAATCCCAGCATTCTGGGAGCCCGAGGCAGGCAGATCACTTGAGGTCAGGAGTTTGAGACCACCTGGCCAACGTGGCAAAACCCGTCTCTACTAAAAATACAAAAATTAGCCAGGCGTGGTAGTGCATGCCTGTAATCCCAGCTAGTAGGGAGACTGAGGCAGGACACTTGCTTGATTCCAGGCAGTGGAGGTTACAGTGAGTCAAGATCACACTACTGCACTCCAGCCTGGGCGATAGAGCAAGACTCTGTTTCAAAAAAACAAACAAAAAAAATGCAGTAGACCTATGTGTCCTAGCATGGAAAGTTCTCCAAAAAACAGGTGAAAAAGAACAAGCTGCAGAGTAATACATGCAAGATGATCCAAATTTATGTAAAACGTAATCAAACCAAACCTGTATATGGAGGGATGTATGCATCTATATATTTGCAGGTGCAATTAAAATGCCTGTTAGTAGTGGTCATGTTTGGTTAGAGGCATGGACTGGCAGACAGCCACAAAGAGGGGCTCTCACTTTGTACTTTATATAGTTCCATACTATACTATTGTTTAAATTTTTAAAAATGACCATTTGTTTATTATTTGTACAATGAAAAAAATTGAAAAAAAAAAAGACACAGGTCAGCCCCCTTCCTCAGCCCAAACATCTGTACAATCCACATAGCAGAATGACCCCAGCACCCAGCCAGTCACACAGGGTGGGCAGGCTCCCGTGATACCATGTTCTCTTCTTAGGGGGACAGCATGTGGTTTGGCAGCAAACAGGAGATGAGTTCTCTAAATCTGTGTTTCCCATACAATGTTCCAGGCTGTGGATAGGTTCAGAGGCTAGCTCACACCACTGGCCTATGGGTTATACTGGCTTGAAGCTAGTCCCGGAATTAGTCCACATTTATATGGTTGCAATGGGTCACTGAGCCTGGACACAAATGTGTTTTACTGAATGTCCAAATAAAGAAAAGAAAATGTATTTCTTTTTTGTTTGTTTTTGCTTTTTTTTTTTCCTAAGAAAATGTATTTCAAACTCTTGATTTATGAACATACATTGAGGCAACATGAGTACACAGAGGACCTTTGTAGAGAAACCAAGAGAGCAAATATCTCCCCCCAACGAAGTATGGTAATCAGCCTATTAACAAGGATATAAGCAGTTTTTTTGTTTTTTGTTTTTTTTGAGACGGAGTTTCACTCTTGTTACCCAGGCTGGAGTGCAATGGCACGATCTCGGCTCACCGCAACCTCTGCCTTCTGGGTTCAGGCAATTCTCCTGCCTCAGCCTCCTGTGTAGCTGGGATTACAGGCACGCGCCACCATGCCCAGCTAATTTTTTGTATTTTTAGTAGAGACGGGGTTTCACCTTGTTGACCAGGATGGTCTCGATCTGTTGACCTCGTGATCCACCCGCCTCGGCCTCCCAAAGTGCTGGGATTAGAGGCTTGAGCGCCCCCCCACCCATCTTTTCATTCCCAGTCTGGCAAAGGCTGGTTCATGTCACCCCACTGGTCCCTTGATCCTAAACCATGGCTCAGTTCCTACAGTTCCTGTGGGTCACAGAGAAAGGC